CGAAGAAGCGTTCCACGTTCGGGCCATGGGGACTAAAGCCAACGAATTAGCCGCCCAAGCCAATGCCCGCAAAACCGTCAAGACCTTTGAGGAAGTAGTGCCGGAAGAGTACAGAGACTTCAAGGACGTATTCGCCAAAGAAAACTTCGACGAACTACCACCTCGTAAACCCTGGGATCACGCCATTGAACTCATCCCCAACGCTAACGCGAATCTGGACTGCAAGGTCTATCCTCTTAATCCGGCCGAACAAGAAGAACTGGATAAGTTCTTAGACGAAAACCTCGCCACGGGTCAGATTCAAGCCTCGAAGTCCCCCATGGCCTCCCCCTTCTTTTTCGTTAAAAAGAAAGATGGGAAACTTCGCCCCGTTCAAGACTATCGCAAGCTTAACGAGATGACAATCAAGAACCGTTACCCTTTGCCGCTCATTGGGGAGCTCATGGATCGCCTGAAGAAGGCAAAATACTTCACGAAGTTGGACGTACGATGGGGATACAATAACGTCAGAATAAAACAAGGGGATGAGTGGAAGGCCGCTTTTCGGACGAATCGTGGTCTCTACGAGCCCCTAGTGATGTTCTTCGGATTGACCAATTCCCCCGCTACGTTCCAATGGATGATGAATGACATCTTCAAGGACCTCATAACGGCTGGAGAGGTGTCAGTATACCTCGACGACATTCTCATCGCCTCCAAAACCAAGAAGGATCATCAGCGAATTGTATGCGAAGTGCTCAAGATACTTCGAGACAATAAGCTGTTCTTGAAAGCGGAGAAATGCGAGTTTGAAGTCGAGGAAACCGAATACCTAGGTGTCCTCATCAGCGAAGGAAAGATCCGCATGGATCCAGTCAAGATCGCGGGTTTATTGGATTGGCCGGTGCCAACCAAGAAACAAGAGCTGCAGTCATTCCTGGGCTTCTGTAATTTCTATCGACGATTCATCCGAGACTACAGCAAACACGTCAAACCGCTTACCAACCTGACCGGGAAGGCGGAATGGAGGTGGGGAGAAGCCCAACAGGGAGCGTTTGAGAAGTTGAAAGATTTATTCCGTGAGGATGTGGTACTATCCATTCCCCTCGACGAGGGGAGATTCCGAGTAGAGGCCGACTCCAGCGAAGGAGCCGTCGGGGCCGTCCTGTCGCAATGGCAAGAAGAAAAGTGGCGACCCGTCGCTTTTCTCTCCAAGGCTTTATCAGTCACCGAGCGAAACTACGAAATTTACGACAAAGAGCTATTAGCCATTATGATCGCACTCGAAGAATGGCGCCAGTATCTCATGGGCGCCCGAGAAGACTTTGAAATCTGGACGGACCACTCGAACCTCCAGTATTTCCGCAAACCCCAAAAACTCAATCGACGACAGGCTCGGTGGGTCACCGAATTGGCTGAATACCAGTTTACCCTACACCACAAGCCGGGGGCCCAAAATCGCAAGGCGGACCTACTATCCCGACGAGCTGACCATGACCAAGGGAAGGGAGACAATAAAGACATTATGGTGCTTAAACCGGCCCACTTCCAAGCCCTCGTCATGCCCACCACCGAAGAACTCCACGAAAAGATCAAACTAGCTACCCATGACGCGCGAAAATGGGATCGAGGCATCGCCGACTCTCTTAATCATGAAAAGGGAGTCTCCCGACAACAGGGACTCTTGTACTACGACGGGCGCATCTATATACCCAGAGACAAACGATTGAGAGGCGAAATCCTTGGACTGAGGCATGATCACGTAACGGCGGGACATCCGGGCATAGAAAAAACGAAGAAACTCATCCTTCGGGATTACTGGTGGCCTCGGATGCATCAGGAAGTAGAAGTCTACGTGAAGGGTTGTGAGATCTGCCAGCGGACCAAAGCTGACCGCAGGCCCAAAAAGGCACCCCTCCACCCAAATGAAATCCCGGATCGCCCGTGGACTCATATTTCCGTCGACATGATCACCAAACTTCCGGATTCGAGAGGGAATAACTCAATCCTTGTGATCGTCGACCGATTCTCCAAAACCATCATCCCTATCGCCTGCACCGAGGAATTGTCATCCTTAGGCTTCGCCAAGATCTTGCGTGACCACGTCTATGTACCTTACGGTGTCATGCCGGAGAAGGTCATTTCGGATAGAGGGACCGTCTTTGTGTCCAAATTCATGAAAGAATTCTATGCTCTTATCCAGGTCTCAGGAAACCCGTCCACCGCTTATCACCCTCAGACAGATGGACAGACCGAGAGGGTTAATCAGGAGATCGAGAAGTATCTAAAGATGTTCGTCAACTATCGACAAGACGACTGGAGCGATTGGTTATCTCTCGCCGCCTTCACTCACAATAACCGAAAACACTCCGCCACGGGCTTTTCCCCGTATAAGGTAGTTTTCGGACGGGATGGACAAGTAATTAAGACGGCACAACGACCAGACGCAGTACCAGCCGCCTTGAAACTCGTCCAAGGGATTCAAGAGGTACAGGAGAAGGCAAAAGAATCGCTGGAACGAGCGGCAGAAACGATGAAGAAGGCTTACGATAAACACAAAGGGGAAGCAAGGGAATACCGAGTCGGCGACAAGGTATGGTTGGATTCTACCAACCTAAACCTTCCCCGTCCGACAAAGAAATTAGGAGACAGAAGGGTAGGACCCTTCATAATTGTTGCCAAGAAAGGAGCATCCGCATACGAACTGAAGCTCCCCGCGAAATGGCACATACATAACCGATTCAACGAGTCCCTGTTGACCCCGTACCAAGCTCCTACATTCCCTAATCAACCACGACCGGAGCGGCCGCCCCCAGAACTTATCGATGAAGAAGAAGAGTACGAGATTGAGGAGATCGTTGGAGAAAGAGATCGAGTTATTGGTCGCGGACGAACCCGCCGCACCATCACCGAATACCTCGTCAAGTGGAAGGGATACCCGGCGGAAGAAAGCTCGTGGGTCAAACGTTCTGACATGGCCAATGCAGAAGACCTCGTGAACGACTACGAGACCCTAATTCAAAAAATGGTATGGACAGTGAACGAAAAAGGGAAAACCGTTGGAATTGACGACAAGATACCTCGCAACCTCCCGGTTAAATACAATAATCCCGACTCGCCTTGCGTCACCGACATCATAACCGTCCATTCCTCAGAATGCACTGCACCTATGCACTCGGAGGAGCTCAATGGGATTGACAACACTCGCGACTACTCCGATGATGAGGAATCGGATGTAGATAATCTCCAAAGAGTCACGGAAAATTGGGATAAAGATGAAGATGATGACAACGATGACGAAGACGACGACGAATGGTCATTCTACTCGGAATCGCGAAGTTCTGCCTCACAAGGCGAATCCATCGACTCCTCCGAAACGGGGGAGCACTAAACAAAGAAAAAACTTACGGTGTAGAAGGGGATTTCCACCGCTCAAGCATGAGCATTGAACCCTTAGGGATCGCGGATCCCGATTGACAGACGAGGCCTAACCGGCGCAGAATGGTTCAGGATTTATAGGAGCCTGAATCTAGGTAATGTACGGGTCGGAGGCCGAACGCACGAAGTGACTTTTTTAAGGCGTAGCGGAGGCCCAAGCAGAGCTGTTTTAAAGCAGAAGGGAGCCCCTCGTCTCGCTCTTGTGGAAGGAAGGAGATATATTCTCATTCGGGACGAATGAGTCTTAAGGAGGGGGTAATGTTACGGTTATTCTTTTCTTTTTTCCTTTCCTTTTCTTTTCTTTTCTTTTTCTTACGTGTTTACGCTTACGCTATGTTGCGATCTTGATCGGACGTTGCTGCGGTATTATTTTTAACCTACGCAACGTGTATTTAAGTAGAGCCTCAGCTGGTCTAAACCCCAGCTTCGGCTAAGGTTTAATCTACCTAACATCGAACTCCGTTCTTCGTGACTATCTGTCCCATCGACTTGAGTCGCCTTTGACTTGCTTGCGTATCGTCTACCGAAGTGCGAGTAGCGATCCAAGCACGATCTAAGTTGATAAGAGTTAGTGGCTAACACGTCTCTAAGTATATAGCGGCCTTGGCGTCAGCTGCCAAATGTACCATCTGTCGCACGCAGATGTGGGCTGCTGTGATGTGAGTACTTTGACTCGCAACGTCTCTCCCAGCTCATCGAACCACAGGTTAACGGACTGCAGGCACATTGCATGCATTGCATGTGTGCGAAAGGCTTTTGTAGACCAGATGTTGAACCGACCGCGGGTGGAGAATTTCCTATGTCGAGGTGATCCTCCAATGGAGTTCACCTGCCCAACTTGTCAGGTCACGGTTACCCAATGTCCTGCCCCACAGCCCATCATGGGTACGGTTGCTACTGCACTCACTAGCATTCATTCCCCATCTGCCAGGTACGGAAGCTTTACGATGAGTGAAAATGTTCTGGCAGAGTTTTTTCCCAACGACTTTCAAATGTTCGTACAATAGTTGTGTGGTTCACGTTAACGTTGGGGCGATGGTGAACCAAACATAATCTGTTGTGGCCTCCGCCAAAAATAAATACGAAGAGCTTAGGAGCTTTACGTTGAGTGTTGTGTCGGGATATAAATTATTGTTACCAAATAAGATCGGTTGGTTTAGTCTGACACAGAGGCAGTCCCACCAGATTGACCTTTCATATATCAGATTCATTGCAGGCTTGAGCTTGATGATCGGTTTGACGACATCAACAAGTTGAAGGCCGCGGATGTTTCATTGTGATTGTTCGCTGATGTCTGGGAACCGATTTATTCGTTGCCACGTGAAGGAGCTGGTTGCAGTCATTAATATCAATTGTTCGTTGACATTTTTCATGCCTGTTCCGTGGTCAACATCCTTGGTCAACAGTGGCAAGCCATGGTTTGCCATGTAAAAGTTGCTGCAATACTGACGCGAGTGCAGGTCGTCCCTGGAAGGTTGCAAACGAGCTCAATGTATTCGGAAGCATACCGTAGGGTACGCGTCTTCATATATTCTATATATATCTGGTCTCCCCAAATCCATCCCTCGCTTTGATATATCGTGATGGCTTCCACCGCAAAAATCGAGGAGGTATGCAGCACTTGGGTACCACCTCTCCTGGGGACAGGAATTACTGATCCTTGGCCATCTAGCTGACTACTCGTTTGGTCGAAAAGGTGGGGAAAGGCAACGTACAATCCCTCGCATCCGACCTGCAGGACCTCCTCAAGGAGGTTGACGAATTCCTCAGCGTCAACAATCAGGTGCATGTCGCATCATGTTCGATTACCGCTTCGCTGACACAAACCTTCCCAATACCTTCAGCTTCTTTCTACTGTGCGAGCAGATCGATGTCGCATCGCCGGGGAGGTTCTCAATTTGGTTGATGAGCTCGTGCTCAAAGAGCGGTGCTTGAAACAGGTGCACTCCCTTAATCCCTCACCGCTCAGCCGCTGATGGATTCGCAGGTGTGTGACGGTCGTCATCGTGCAGAGCGTGCATCCCGTGATGCAGAGGATCAGGCGATGTGAAGCAAAGGCCAGGCTGAGCGCCTTTGGGCCACATTACGGCTGGTAAGTAGTTTAGCTTAGCACCCAATCAAACCTATAATGACGCTGGACGTAGGACTGGCACACCGTGGAAGGCGAATTAACGTGCAACATTTGCTTTCGCAAACTTTGGAGTGCTGTTACATATGTTTTGCATGGTTCACGAGATCCTGCCATTGACGCATAGTCGTATTTGACAGGATGGTCCCCTGTGGTCATACTACCTGTGTGATTTGCACCTACAAATGGTGGAAAAAGTGCAAAGAGGCTCCGCAACCGACCTTCTCTTGCATATGGTGCGGCACCACGTCTGACCAGCATCCTTTGCAGGCGCTTACGATCGAGGGTGCCATGCATGAATTGCCTAGACTGAACGACGACGATCGACTGTTTTGTGAGGAGGCGGCTAAAAAGGTGGGGTATGAGGACGACAGCAGCTGGGATGTTTTTTTCCCTAAAGTACTATAATATTGCGTTAGGCACCTATGTAAGTGGTTGGGCTCTACTGTCAACTGGAAGTTTGCTGTTGGTCGATATTGAGAAATGCACCGTTTCTGCCCGATCTCAAACCTTGCCATGCATACAGCCACTTTGGAGATGTGAATGGCTCATTTGAGGGACAAAACTTGAATGCCAACACACAGCAAGAGCTCAATAAAAGATAATAGTAAATTTCGTGTTACATATATGGGTTACGGCGACTTCAGACAGGCGATTTACATATATCTAACCGTTGTTTCCAGATGAGCAATGTAACTCATCCACCTGGGATCCTGCCGATCACGCTTCAAACTGAGTGCCCTCCACTGTTCCCTAAAGCTCTTGTCTGTCATGTTCACCAGTTGTCGGAATAGACGCAACACGCGAGCTAGCCGGTCCATGGCTCCCCGCAAGTCTGGCACCGAAGCAGAATATTGAGGTGCAACCGCATAGAATTTGAGGAACGGGCCCAACTCCTTCGACAACAAAGACATGCAGTGTTCTACAAGCTGGCCAATGACCGGTGAATGCTGGGACAGGGAGAGAGAGGGGTGGTGATGGCGATGGATGGAGCAGCGGAGGCAGGGCTGCCTGACTGACGGTCAGAATGGCAGGCGCAGCCAAAAATACAGGCACGGGAGCGACGTTTGGTGAGGGCGAAGAGCTCCTGGAGAGTACGGGTGTGCTATGATCAGTGGCATGTCTTGTTTGGATTTTTGAACAAGAAAGCTTACCCATACATCCACTCTGCGCAGACGGAGCAGGGTAAAGCCAGGTTACAACACTGGCGTCTCGCAGAAGGTTCTGCAAAGGCGACTTTGTGGTTGCTGGCTGGCATTTTCAGCAAGGTTTTTTTTTTTTGGGGGGGGGGGGGGGGGAGAATGGCTGCAGGAAGGACGTTGACAACTCTTTGGATGCCGAGAACGAGGGTAAGGGTTAGGATTTTCAAACCCAGCTTGCACGTCGTGCTCGAGACTGCCACGCCACACAACATGCCAGCTCCCTGCGAAGCATAAGCAAAAAGGTATTAGATATTGAGCAAGATAGGGTAGGGTCTCGTATCAATGATAAAACCCTGCAACGCACCCTCGAGCATCCCTGCCACATGAGTCCGGGGGTAATTGAATCGTCAGAGCATTCCGAGAGGTGCAAGGGGGTGGTGATTACGAAGGCTGGAATATGAACCTTGAAAGAGGTATTGAGGACATTGCATTGCCATCTCAACGGTGGAGATTTGACAGCCTTTCCTGCAAAGCTAGCTTGTGGTACATCTTCTTTGGGTGTATTTCGGTCTATCTGCAAGGTGTGGAGATGTGATCGCTTGTCCCTAAGTTAGAGGGCACAGAACAGTACGCGTGAAGGAGAGCCGAGATCATAGTGACCTTAGAGATCATCATTCACACCGATTGCCCAAGCAGACAGGCAGCACAAGTACTTTGAAAAGCCAGGAGGAGGAGGATATATTTTGTAAATTCGCATGAAGAATTTGTGCATATTACATAGTCCTTATATCATAGCAGTTGACCAACCGAGGTACATGCGTCTAGATATGTGTGGACTTATTCAGAAGGTGCCAGAAAGAACCACTCCCAAATATATTCAGCGGGGTCCTGGTCGTCATACCCAAGTTTTGCACAGAGTTTTTCAATCTTGTGGTTGCGCATGGGAGGTTGGGCAAATGTCAGCTTTGCATACAGGGCAGGTTAGGTCCAAGGATGCGTCTTGGTCGACGGAGCCAACATGAACCTGCCTCTTCCGGCATGTGCTGAGCGAACCAGCTCCATAGGCAGGCAGGGTGAAACGTATCTCCACAGACAAGGCTGTACACCGCTAACTCAACCTTACGCATGGCTAGAGACACATACGCGTTACACACCTGTACGCCCTTCTAAGCTCATTGGAGCAAAACCCGCATGTCAGTTCCTGCTTCATAGCCTCGATGAGCTTCTCTGCATCACACGCTTGGTTCAGTTTTACGTTGAGATGGTCGATAGAATGCTGTGCCTTTTCTAGTTTACTCGATTCCCATGGAAAGCACAGACATCAATACTGAAGTTGTCAGGTAGCAATTACAACAAAAATGACCTGGTGACAGACTGTCATCATAAACTTCAAATCCTCCTCATCGCGGTGAGCCTTTTCTTCGGCTTGTGCGGCTCTCTGCAAAGGAAATGATTGGAATGACACACAGATTCGAGGGGGGAAATTATAACCTTTTCCAAAACGTCGCATTCATGTTTGAGTTGGAATACATTCTGTAGAATTGCGAGATGATATAGGCCGGACATGTCTGGCTCTGGAGGGTTCTGTCGTTAGCTCTCTGGCTGGAATGCGACTCCCGGCACCCTGTTCGACAATGTCCAAATGGGGTAAACCAGACATTGCTGTCTGTTCATGGGCATCGGAGAGAAAGAACTGTACCTGTTGAAGGTTGGATTGATGGGGAAACAGACACGACACGTAAGACTAATTAAGGACTGCAGGGCAGTCAACTGTCAAATGATGTGATGGCCAATTGATAAGCCTGGCCTGAATTTTAATTTTGATGTTGATCAATGTGCAAGTCACCTGATACTGCTGGCCGGATCGCAACTTGACAGACTCTAATATAGATTAGATGTGAAGGCCTGGACTAACTTGAGAAACGGTCAGTTTCGTCTAGACTCGCTAGCCAGTCGACATACACAAGCATTTCACCTCCTTCCTTATACAGATGTTTGGTTGTTTGGTTGACTTCCATAAGTAGATTGAATGTCAGAGGTGAACTTGTGTAAGTAGTTTCAGTCTGCCGCTGGCAAAAAAGGACAGTAGGCTAATTAGTTAATTAGAAGTAGTGAGTAAGTTGTCACTCAAGAATTTTTGCTCGGCTCTAACCGAACTTGGGGACGTATGTCGTGGGTTCAATCCCTAAACAGGGACAGGACCGCTGAGGGAGAATGATTATTCAACATGAAAATTTTCTCTGGTCGGGTCATGGAGAGCAAAACTAAAATTTACCAACTGTAGCGAGTCATATACAATACACCAAGATGTTATATTATACATTGTATCATAGGATGTATCATTACCGCTCTAAGCCTTCCGCCACTATTCCCATTTCATGACGTCCAGGATATACCCCGATTCCTGGGCAAAATAAAGCTTACGTGCTTCAGGTATGAAAGGGACGAGGGGCGTGCGAGGTAATCGCCTTGGTAGAATGGGCGCCTGTCCAAATGTCATGAAGAACGTTTCACAGTAAAAGGAGGCCATATCTTTCTCGATCTGCACCACGTCTGCCTCTGAATACTTGGACTTGTCCGACGAAAGCAAGGGTGGACAGCCACGCCAGTCCTGCATGCAACGACACATGGAGAAGACATAGGGCGCGTGCTGCATCCAATTGGAGTGCACCAAACCCCAGTTCATGCTCCCAAGGTCAACGCAATGCAACAGATTCCACTGTCCATAGGGAAAACACTGGCCCACGAGCTTGCAGTGTTGTGCATCAGTCTTCTGAAAAAGTTTCTGGTCGAGCGCTGAAAATTCAAGGCGAAAGTTGGTTTCTGCCAGTTCCCACAGGATCTCCCACACGTCATCATTCCCAAGCGCTGAGCTAGTCTTGTGGCCCCAACAACCCTCAGTGGATAGGGTGGTATCCACGGTTAACTCTGCATGACAGCCGTCGAGAAATGCTATCACTTGGTCTCGCCGACTTTGTTCTCCACGTGTGCCTGATGCACCTGTTTGGGGGTGTAGCCAGTCCATCTGAAGGATGGTTTGCCACATCTGATGGTTCTTGACCTCTGGACTAAAGTGGACCTGCAATCGAGCGAGAAGACCTTGCCGCAGCCGCAACCATGAGGTTATCATGAGGTTAAGCTTCTCTGCTGATTTGATGGTGACAAAAAGATTGGGTCGAGGTAAGGCATACCCAAACGCGGCGCAAGGAGGGCAGGACTTGTCAGCATTCACGCTAAGCAAACCATGTAGCCATGTGTCAACCAACAGCAGGAGTAAGGGATAGTGCACCATGTCGAACTTCTTCACTGCACCTGTCGGCAGCAATGAAGTTGACTTTTGTTTCCCTTGACGAGATAGGTCTGGATGTTTATCTGAGAAGTGTGAAGAGGGTGGAGGTCAGCAGCGGTATCTAAGGGAGGAGAAAGAGCATACAAGGACAGTATCGCACTTGGTCAGCAATCAAGGGAGCAGGCTCAGGTTCAACGGCCTTCTGAGGTTGCACTAGGTTGAAAGGATTGGGTGCATTTAGGTGCAAGCGGGTGAAACGTTCTATTGCTTTGTACTTTTCCTCGTCTGTGGCAGCTCCAACGTGAATAGAGCGAATTGCCAGCTGGCAGGAGGATGAGGGAACATTTAGGTGATGCAGCTCTTGAATGGGTTCCACTGAGTCGATGCGGACCTTTCCCGCCATTTTTAGAGGATGTATGAACCAGACGGGAATGCCAGCTCATAAAAATTCCTGAGCGACAGTGGGATTCATGGTAAAGGCTCCAACCAGGCTCTCGGCACCCCCGGTTCCCTCCTCATTGGGTCGTTCTGCGAGTCCAGCCATGCGGGGACGATAAACAAGGATGTAATCCATGATAGCCTGAAGCTCCAGTGCCAGATGTTGCATCTCTGCCATGCAGAGGCACAGCCGTTCGAATACCAAGGGCAGCGCTTGGACATGTTCAAGGAACATGTGCAAGTAATGCGCATTAGTGAGAATCAAATTTTTGTGAGATTCATCCCAGGTGCCGTCCTCAGCGGCGCGGATGATGGGAAGGCAGGCCTCACGAAACTGGGCGAACTGCAGAGGTTGCCACATTCCGGGACCCCGTATGGCAGAGGAGTCGTCCCATGGTATGAAATCACTGAGGCGAGGAAGTTCGTACAAGGGCTTAAGCTTGGCATCGGTACAGCTAAAGCGAATACACCCGAGGTGAGGACGCAGGGGCGAATACGGCTGTGGCCAACATAGCTGGTCGTCTTGCCCATAATGGTAGTTGTCCCACAAGTACATGGTTTGATCACGACTGAGAGGGGGTTGTAATAGGCCTCTGAGGGAGTTGGGAGTTGTTAGGAGTGTGTGAGAGTCTAGGAGAGCGCCGCATTGTCCTTCCCAGCCTTGAAGGGCTGTTCCAAAGGCTTACTAAAACATTGTGTTCCCACAACGAATGGGAGCTACTCACGTTCTCCAGGTCAAGAGTAACGCAGCAGCGGCGTGGAATCCTTCGAGAGTTGCTCGAAGGTGTACTCGCCCTCCGATTGCATAGTCGACACTAAAACAAAAATATACTCCTTCTCCGGTAGGCGGCGAAATCAAGATACACTGACAGATGTCGAGGTGTAGCCCAATGACCTTGCGGTACAGCTGGGAAAATCCGAACTGAATGGTAGAGTCGGCGAGGCGGGCGTAGGAGTGGCGGGACAAGACGACTTAGTTTGATGGTCATTCAGGCCTGGCTGGACCGTAAGCACGTGCAAAAATCCCCATGATCCCTGATGGCCGATCTGTGGCCTGTGGAAGCAATTGCCACACGTTGGCCTACGTCAAACACCTACCACGGTGAGAGCAAGACAGTAATGTCTGCTCCCTAGGGTAGCATGGGTTCATAGCTGCTTGGACAATGCGTCAGCAGTATTGTGACCCCTTCTTTCCCAAAGATGCAATGGCCAATTAACTCCTTTGCTGATGATGACCCGGGGAGTTCGCCAAACATGTAGGTTAAAGTCCAAGGCCATGGTATGTCATGTATCATTATATATGGATGTTGCATCAAAGTCATGTCAACTACAGATCGGGCGAGACGGGCTGAGCTCTAGCTTCGAGGATGGTAACCATAAGACGTAGTCCCCAAATCCAGCGAAGCTTTTGATACTCCAGGCAGCAATCTGTGTCTGGGGCCACCTGTGGCTAGTTGACCTACAAAGAGATCATATTCGATAGGCGAAAAGGAGTTGTTGGGGGGTTCACAAGGAACATAGGCAAGGGTATGGGGGACTAGGAATGTATCTAAATATGAGAGGGCAATTTAAGGTTTGAGCGATGGACTTACCACTGCCTTCTTGCACTCCGATCTGGACACGTTGACGAGCCTGAAGATTACGGAGCATGTCGTCAGTTGAGGCCCAGGTTGGGAACACTGGCAAACTGGAGTGGTGCAGTGCAGGATCATCGGAAGCAAGATGTTCAAGTCCTTGAGCGCCATGGAGGAGTTGACTCTCCATCCACATCTGAAGAGGAGTAGCGCGATGGCCCTGCAGTGCAATCTTGTGGTTGTTCCAGTGTTCAGCCCACGTCTGCAGCATCTTGGTCAATGTGTGCTAGAAAGAGATGGTGGATAAGCCAGATATGCTGATTGAGGTGAGGGTTGAGGGCATGGTCGTGTTCGAGGGAGAGAAAGAAAGCCTTCCATTTGTTGGAAAATCCGATAGAGGTATCAACCCACATGCGTTCAACGCGGGTGTTGTGAACGGACCTGAGAGGGATTGGATCAGCTCGAGAAATGTGACAAGGCATGGCAAAATGCAGACCTGCCTCAAATGTAGGAATTCCGTACGACCCCATGGTAGTTTTCCATCCATTGGGCGACATACAAATTTTCGAGACTGCAGTCCCCATGCATGCGGCTGGGTACCCCTCACCGAAGGGTTGCATTGAGGAAGAGCTGAAGAACACTGACCGGACGATTGTTGTTATGAGCACGAATGCTGACCGCAGCGCGGCTGAGACCAGTCAATGAAGAGATGTAAAACGATCTTCCACCATATGAGATCTACAAGTTCATATTAGTGACCAGCTTATGCTCAGAGAGAGGGGTTGCATGGGTCAAATAGCTTACTATGATTGCCGTCGTGATGCCACATGGAATTTGCTCCCGGGACCGTGGTAGTTATTACAAGCAATGTTACATCACCTGAAAGGGAGGAGCAGGGACCGTGGACACAGTAGACGGGAGGCGTCAACGCGATCCCTGGATACACGGACGCCATGGCTGACAAGTGCACCGTCAATGAGACTGCGGCCATGGTTGGGATAGTCACATAGGATCTCCGCCATGATGTGATCTAGGTGTTCATCGGTGAGGGTCGACATGCGAGGTAGGGAGGAGTGATGATGGTAATGAGCACGACCAGATTCATCAATAAAATCAAGCTGACGAGGAGACAGGCCAGCGGAAACCAGGCCCCATCGAAGTTGGTAACACCGGATCGTACGAGGGTGGAAGCCGAGAAGGGTAGCAATTTTGGCGGTGCCGCCATAGGTCTGTGTGAGGGATTGTAAAAGTAGCGGGCTGATATCGGCATGCGGTCGCCCAGGTCTGCCGGATGATTTGAATTGGGCCTGAACGAGGGTGGGGGGTCGGGATGAGGGATCAGACTGACGTGAGAGCCGCCTCACGAAGAAGGTGGCTGAATTTGTGTAATGCTGACATCCAGGTTCATTTGAGAGTTAGCATCAAGGAGGTTCCGGTGCTGAGGGAATATGGAGGTAATGAGAGGACGAACAATAGGAAAATGGTGGGAGATACCAGTTTGAACACATTCTCGAACTGAGCAAGATCGTTGCTCTGGAGATGGATGCGATGGGGATCACCATGGGTGGCTTGAAGAACTTGGTTGACAGAGTGCATAAGTGAGCTCCATGTTGCAGCGAGTCGACTGAGAATGACATTGGGGTCTACTGGCATGGGAACTTAGAGAAGGGGAGCGTGGCATGGATGACGGACAAAGGGCTCAGTTTAGACAAGTGTCACAAGGAAGAGTGGTGTCAGAGGGGTATATTGAAGTCGCAATATTATCTGTGTAATTTCATCGCAATGGAAATAAACGATTGAAGGGATTTCGGGTGCGTGGTCACAATATTTGTTTTCAAGTGCCATTTCATCAGATGTACACGAATGTACACAGATGTACATCCATGTACATGCGATTGCATTACACTGATCCTTAATGAACAATGCAGCAATGGCCAATCGCACACCTGAGATCTGCATCTAGCACTCATCAATGCATCTTTGAGGCTGATCGAGATCTCTGAGGCATGCCAAACGGTCCAGGCCAAGTCTGCGGTACTGGTCCCATGATGTGAATACTCCTTGTTGATGGCACAATCTCTTTCAGTCTTTCAACTTCTGGGCCCTGACCCTCAACCAGGTTACCAAGTGAGCACCGTCATGCACGGTTTGCTTCTGCAACCTCCGACATGGTGGACCTCCCGTGTACGTTTCCTTGTTTGTAAACCATCACGTTGGATGGGCACGAGACCTCCAGACGAATTTCGAATACTCGAGCCCAGGAATTCGATATTCAGAGGATGACCCCTCTAGCTAACCCAACGCGGCATCCTTCTTGCCCTGCTAGTGAACTGATACTGACCTGCCATTCTGTTCCAGGAGTATTGAAAGACTACTTTCTGACGCGACGCATAAGTCACCTCTGCCTTCACCCATATCACATCTGACGCCCCCCTTTCAGACGTGTTCAGACCGCGTATTTTCACCCTGGGCAATGCCGATCACCGTACCTCATCCCTCCTTTGACTTTCCAGCTCTGGTACGCGACCGAGTTCAGGAAGAGGAAAAATTGGCGGCCCTCGACGCCTATGACTCGTTTGATAGCCATTCCCCACTCTCATTGCCTCCCCAAACCCCGCCACCATCCTCACCAACGCCTGAGAACCTTAGCCTTGCTGATGTCCCCAACCTGCCTCCCCTTGAACCCGCCTCATCCACTAAGTTGCACGCCAAACGTCAATCGAAGAGGAACAGGCATCTTAAGCGCCAACGTGCCAAAGATGACCGCTATGCCTATGACTACGAGGTCCCTCCCCCACTCCGGTTCAAACACACACATGCGACGGATCCGATCGCGATGGAGTTTGACACAGATTCCGCCCCCCATGCGAGTACAGCCTACGTCGGGTTACGGGAGGAAAGTTGGAAAAGGGAGCATACGCTGGATGAGCTTCTAAGTCCTGAATACAGCTTTCGGCATTGCCCTTGGATCGGTCAGTACATACACCACCGATCCCTCCGCTCGATAAACTCATTCCCTCCCAGCACCCCGACTCCAATTATTGATCGGGAGGGCCGCATCATTGCAGCGTTGGCAGGACAACCCGATGACCCTAAATGGAATGAGGTACACGAGGAGGCCATCCAATCCTTGGAAAGCCTCCGGAAGCAATGCAAGTTTTCAGAGGATCAGCGGAAGCACCGACGTGGCAAGTTCGGCGCCCTCAGCATCGGCATCTCTTATGGAGGGGGCCAAACAGTACGCCTTCACTGTTATGATCCAGACTCACCATGACCTCAAACCCTGACAGCATCCCCAAAACCTTCACCACAACAAAAGCAACACCGCCGTGTTGATGGCCCTTTTGAACACACTTGCCTTCGTTCACTTGGCTGCATTTGCGAGCTGTATGTGCCTACAAGAATAACCTTCTGACCTGTGATTCACCATTTCACAGCTGCTTTTGCTACATGGGCTCCGAATCTCTTTCACTACTACGCCACTCATCTATGCGACCTGCTCGTTCACGACGCGACCCTTGTGCTCAACTGGGCCTCCAGCATATTTGCATCAGCGACCTTCAACTTTGGACCACGCACACTTTGTTTTCGGCATACCGATTCAGCGAACCTACCATTTGGCTGGTGCACCATCACAGCGCTTGGCCGTTACAACTTTCGAAGAGGGGGGCACCTAGTCCTTTGGGACTTGAAACTTGTCGTTGATTTCCCCCCTGGTTCGACTATTCTCATACCCTCGGCCATCCTCCGCCACTCGAACACTGCCATAGGCAAACGAGAATGACGGTATTCCTTTACACAATATACAGCAGGTGGCTTGTTCCGCTGGGTTGACTATGGTTTTCAAACCAGTGAAGAATATTGGGCGTCGCTCGATGCTGATGGCCTCTTGAAGGCACGGGAAGAACGAGAACAACGGTGGGCACAAGGTCTGGATATGTTTTCGAAGCTTGATGACTTGCGTAGCTATCAGTAGGGGCACTGTACTTGGGTACTCGTTACCACTACAATCCAAATAACTATGATTCTGAAATCAGCTATTCCATATACACGCGAGTGGTTTCCTGTTGACTATGATGGGCTTGGGAATGATCATTCATTTGGAACAGATACTGACGAGTGATGACACAGAATCAACATGATACATATTGATACACACTCATACCTGAGGGCCTACTGGGTCAGGGTTAACGAGACGACACCGTAGACAAATGCATTTCCAAATCTGCCACCAGTACCCTGCCAACATCACTGGCCTGTCTGACTTCTGCCCGAATGAGCCATGGCGAGACACCGTTTGGAGACCAACCAGACTCTGCCAGAGAGCCTCTTACGTGTGTGGGGCGAATCTGTGATGCACACTGACTCTAGCTTAATCTTTAACTCTAGATGCCGTCTACACCGTAGCATCCTGTCCCAGGCTGAATCCGACGAGTCGGACCAACCCTAAATGCTTCCATTGGAAGCACTGACCCTGTGGCGTCTCACACATTCATGTGGAGGCCAAAGGCAAAATATCTGTCACCTTGTTATCAGCCATCGCCTTTGGTGTTTTGGCGCCCTCCCTTCTGCATACCCATTGCTATTGTTCTATGACTGTCGCCAATCTGCGTCACTACGCTGTAAGCTTCTCTTGCGATCCCGACTTTCTGTATCCTGGTGGAGCTAAAATCACCCAACATTGGCATGTCAGACCTGGCTGTTATCTTTCTGCATGTCGGCCTTTTTTTCAGGGTGGGGCCGTTCTCTTCGAAAGCATCCCATGGTCCCTGAGGAGTATACTGCAATGCAGAAAGTAGGTTATCCAACTCGAATACTGTGAAAAGGCGGGCTGAGTTCCTCAAACCAACCTCGCAGAGTCTGCAAGATGCCAGGATCGAGCTCCAGTTGGTCCGATACCTTGTCAACGACCTGGAGGCCTGGCTGGGCATGCAAGTAGCTTACGCCAGAGCGGTAAGGCTTTGTTTGCTGGCTCGGCATTCCTAAACCTCAAATGTGTTCGGTAGCTTGCCCTGTTGTCGACAAAATGCTGCCCGGCAGGCCGGACTCGCCCAGGATCAACTATCCGCACTATGACTCCACATCAATCATCTTGAGGCCTGCCTGGAGGAAGAGAGGGAGAAGAATAACATCTTTAGGATCCAAGGCTTCCTGTTGCAGTTCAATCCGATCAACTGCGCTCAAGTGCCGGAAGATTGGAAGGAAGCTTGGGTAGCATGATGCTTTCATGCTGAATGAATTAAAATCGTAACGTCTGGGGTGGGGCATCGTATGTATCAGTAATTGTTGTATATCTCAATGTATCTATGTTTTTCTTGGCACTGAGAATCCCTATGAGAGATTCTGCTAGTCACAAACACCAACGAACCAACCTGCACAGGGAATATTCATTAGGCACAACAGCTACTATGATATTCACAGCTACAGCTCTATGATAAACCGATGGCGGGTTAGCGATCGGGTAAACAGGACTCCTGGCTCACAGGCTCACGCTCTCGAAAGTGTCCCAGACCGCACGGGCGGGTTCGTCCCGACCCGTCCTCGAATACAAGTGCAGGTGCATGCATACTGCCTTCCCCATTTTTCCGCTAAATCGACTCGTAACGATTCCGTCCACCTCCTTCAACAGCTTTTGAACATCTGACGACACAGCAAAATCCACATGGCCAGATAGGAAGTGAAGTTGCAGAGTGATTGAGTCGAGCCGTTGGGAATCCAAATGGCACATGACACGCCACAGGTAAAAAAGGTCCTCCCCTGACCAAGCTTTGAACTTAGCATCACCACTCCACATGCCGATGGTCCCGAACAACGACAGCAGAGATTATTTCACTGTTGGAGATGCTGGCACTGACTCCTCAGTCGCCTGCATGCATCGGGATGGTGCATATCCCCCCCACATAACATATCATCATGAGCTATTGTAGCAGCCACAATCAGCTAAATTGTTATCTTCATGGTACCAGGGGTGAATAGAAACAAAAGGGAGGCTCGATTTGTACATAGGTACCAGGATTTCGCTGTAAATACGGGTTTGTAGACTGGAAAAGAAGGAACTGAGAGGATATTCGTAAGAGGGGTAGTATGGCCAAAAAAAACGACACATTGCTAGGTAACCACCATGTGAGAATTGTCGGCATCACCAAAGAAACTGTTCAAAGCATCATCATGGATCATGAAGGATCCGTAGGCCACGGAGCCTGCCTCATGACTAATCAGTGTCATACACATAGAGGCCAGGACGCGAATAGGCTTGGGCTGATGGTGCACTGCTATCTCACATATGGGGCACTTCAGCGACAGGACGTCATGGTGTTCCAAAGACCTGTACAGCTCTCGAATGAACAATCAGATCAATGCCAGCTGCAAGCTCCCGGTCCCGACAAGTTTGACAATGTTGGGAAGAGGGATCATTGGCTCGCAGTCGGTCCCATTGTCATCCGCTTGGAGTTCAAATCAGAGTTTCTGAGAGGCAAAGCTATTGAATACGCAGGCGATGCATATGATGCAGCCGCATTCAAGCAACCTGCCGGGAGAGATGAGCCAATGCTACGACGCGGCGAAGTGAAGGTCGACTTACATGATGGCGGACCACATCAATCCCTTGCAAACCGGGCATTTGGCATCCTCTGCTAGTGTTGCCCATGCCTGGAAAAAGCATGATGTAAGGAACAAGCACTTGAAAAACTGGAGTCACTCGCCTGACTGTTGGGCAGTGGTTGTTCGTGTTCCACCACAAACTGAGCCCTGTTTTCAGGGGACATGATGACCCACACATGCCTCAAGGTCGAACAGCCTGCGATCGATTAATGGAGTCTTCGACCTGCAAGACTCGGACGCGCTCTGCCAACTCATCTTTCTGCAGGAGAGCCTACAAGCGTGTTAGAAGTAGACGACTGAGCACAACTGGGGCGCGTACCTCTCGTGCTATTTCCTGTGCATGCCGTAACTGCATGTGTAGTGGCAGTACCGCATCAGCGCCTCCCTGGAAAGAAAAAAAATTTAGGTACGGGTGGGACTTGGTCACGAAGAACACAGGTTTCATACCTCTTGTGGCGGGAGTCCCATTACTATGCGTTCCAGTCGGGCTAATCTCGCCGATGTGGTACCCAACCTAGGTAGAGGTAACACCTGTAGGGGTAGATGGTAAGTTGCGGCGGGTCATGATTCACATTGGCAATCAACTGACCATCGCTCCGTCGTCTGTGTCATCGTGTGGCTCATCTGGGTCGACCCCAGGCGATTGAGGAACTGAAGACTCAAAGGCGCTTGGACGGTCCCAGCGTACTGAGTGGGGAGAGAAAGACATGCTGGGGTAGGGGGAGGGGAGAGGCAGATGACACAAACAGGGATGGCGACCTCTTATTGGTGAAATCTGGTACACAGGAGCTACTGGTAAAACGAGGTAAGATCTGGAGATCTCGTCGAGCCCGATCGTAGGTGGTGTGAGGCGGTGTGTGATCTGACATTTGAATATGATAAAGTTCGTTCGGACCTGGCGACATATGACACAGGAACCATGGTCAACGAGGCAAGATGAAGCACGAAAGCCGGCATAGAAGACAACCAAGGAGGGAGATGGTTGGCTGGCTGAAATCTTTCCAAGCCGCTGTCACGACATTGCTGTCATGAACAAAGAAGATATGGGCCCATGCGCCAACACCTGCCACATGAAAGCAAACAATTATGTCAGCCTGGCTTGATGGGGTAATTTCATATTTAGACTGCCAGGACCGTGCAAGTGCATTAAGGTGCGTTATTGTCACGCTCCACCCGATTTGATCATCACGTCATCCCTGAAATGGTGAGGTGCATTATTGAAGTGTGGGTAGTCGTGTGCCTAATTATGGAATACCCCCTAGAATAGTAGTGTACCGTGGAATATCCGTGAAGACGCATGCAGAGCCATGGCAAACCAATGTGAACCTGACGCGGATGGTAGTATAAGGAACGACCATAGCGATGGAGACGACATTCTTCTTCTTGCACAGCCTGAAATGACCAACACGCGAATCAAAGACGTAGGTGACCTGGCACATTCAGTCGCACTGAAGACTGACTAAGGTGCAGCTGACCAACCATCTGTTGGAGAGCATTCGAGCGGTAGGAATCGATCGGGAGTCCCCAGATGTGGCAAAGCTGCTCAAGGACCTGACTGATTATACGACTCTAAACACCCAAGTGCGTGAAGCGTACCTTGACTGGCCCAAAACTGACTTCCTTGAGCCAGCTTTTAATTAGCATTCGAGCTGATCATCAACGGATGGTACAGGAGAACCTCTTACGCATTGACGAGCTCGAACTTAAAGAACGCTACATCAAACAGGTTAGCTGACTACTCATGGTTATGGACCCCTCTGCAATGCAAGTTTTCCAGGTTCTAGCTGGTCGTCGTAGGGCCAAGAGAGCTTGTCGTGACGCTGAGGAGCGTTTGGCGCATATTTGGGGGCAGGTCGATCGCCTTTGGGCACAGGTCAACCCGGTGAGTGTGACAACCTTTTCGCCATCGTAGCTATCTACTAACTAAAGGATAACATCACCGACAGACATGGCGCAAGGTCAAGGAGGAATTGGCATGCCATGTGTGCTTCCGCAAACTTTGGTGGGCCGTAACGTACACACCCTCCAGCCATCCTCTCAGTCCTTGTGCTGTAGTCTAAGCACATCTGCAGGATGATTCCATGTGGCCATGCGGTATGTGTAGGCTGTACCTATGAGTGGTTCCAACAGGAACACGCCTTTAAAGAGAACCCGGCTTATACCTGTATTCGGTGCCATGCACACATCCAACAAGCACCGATTCATGCGTTCACAGTCGAAAACGCCGTGCGCGAGCTTCTGAGGTTGGACGAGGATGACCGACAACTTGCAGAGGATATGGCGAGAGAGGCGGGATACGTTGACAAAGATAGCTGGATTGTGTTTTTCCCCTAAGGGTTGAGGTACTTCCTGGATGGGACAGGAGGCCGAGTCAGCAAAAAAAAATTGTATTTACAACAATCTATCGATAAGTAGGAGTACACGTTAACAAAAAAGGGCTTTTCGTTCATGTCCAACATGCGAACTGGATTGGTTAGTAACAACGAGTAAATCATTCAAGTATTACATAGAGAGAGGGTCAACATGAGCAATTGTCAGATTCATTGTACTTGGGCTACTTCCCCACAGAATTTCACAGATATTGTCTGGCTCTAACTGCGCCACATACTTGTTCAGCCAGCGTGCCACTCCACCTCCTGACACTTGAGTGGTTAATTCTTGATTGCAACATTCAAGAAATTGGGAAGCCTGCTCTCGTCAAGCTGCTTCACCTCAGGCATTGGCACTAGAACCATGGCTGGTGAACCACTCCATCTGGAGGATGGTCCTCCAAAGCTGATGACTCTGCATGGTGACCAGATAGTGACTGTTGAAACGTGCAAGCAATCCGACCCTCAGGCATAGCCAAGAAGAAAGAAGGAGAATGAGCTTGTCTTCGCTTTGTACAGCGCAGAGGAGATCAGGACATGGGAGAGAATACCCATACGCAGCACAGGAATTGCGCCCTTTTTCCGCATTAACGGTTTCCAACCCGTCTCTCCAGATGCCAATCAGAGGAGGAAGGAGAGAATGCGTAAGGGATGTCAAACCAGGGTGTAGAGGAGATTAGGTTTGGAAAGCTCCAAAAGGGCGACAAGTTGAAGACTCTCACCTTGTGTAGGCTGCTTGTTGTGCAGCAACAGGGAGAGGTTTTTTTGAAGATTGTCATAGGAGTACTCGACCTCGGAAGTCATGGTTGAACCTGGACGGATGGGTGAGTGATATCATCAAGGAAGACGGTGCGAAGATCAGGCACAGCAACCAATGTCCAACCGTGCAGCAGAAACCTTGCGGCTAGCTGCTCAAGGGCATAGTGAAGATGTAGGTGGATGAGAATGGGATAATGGTACAAGGAGATTAATGTGGGAACTTGCACGGAGACAGTGTGGTTGGGAGCTTGAATGCCGGCTGATGGCCACACCACGTGAGACCTTGGGAAGAGATGTGGCTGGTTCTTGAGTCTTTACCTCTCTGCTACAACGACAAGTAGTGGGTTCTGACAGCAATGTCGCCCCCACTCGCTTGTCTGCGATGAACACACTGCTTGGACATTGTCGGCATGTGGTTCATGGTGACAGCTCCGATGTGGAAGAGGGAGAAGCCAAGGCACAACAATGGATTGGAGAGCCATGCTTCAAAGGCGAGTGAGGATCTCTTTTATGAACTTTTTAATTTGGTTGGACTGACCCATGGAGATATAGATTGGTTGGGATAGCATGTATTAACGAGTGCTCAGTGCTATGGCTACGACAACTGGACTATTACTCTACTACTACATGTGCTCAATTCACTACTACTCTACACGCTTAAGCCCGATTATATCGCGCGAGGTTCCCATCGAAGATGCTGTCGAAATATGCATCTGTGGTCAGGCCCTCCCATCGGCCTGTGGCCAACAACTGAACCAGACAGCCATCGAACCCGATATCAGCGCTTGACCAACAGGCATGCACGAAGTTGTACAGGAGCTTAGAGCCTGACGGTTTTTTAATGTCACTGTTGGGATCGAGCAGCACGAATTTGAACTAGAGAATGGATAGGTGTTAGAGAGCGGCAAGATACAGGGGTTACAGGTGGTACCGTGATCTTGTCATGTTCGCTGGCGGGAAGATATGGACAGGACGTCATAGTTTTGAGGAGTCATGTACCTCTGCCGACCACGTCCTTGCGGAGGTACATCTCTAGTGCGAGCTGGAAACAAGTGAGGACAAGGTCTGCGAGAAGCTCGTCACCACCGATCTGCAATTTGCCCTGTTCAGTGGAAACAATCTGACTGTTGTCATAGTTGAGATATGGCTGGAGTTAGGCCAGGCTCTCGAGTTTGCGGTTGAACAGCCAATATATGAATAGGAATTCAGACTTGTGCGCCACTTTGGCCATGCGTTGGATGAGGGACGACTGCAAAGGCGACTCAACAAGGGCATTGACCATGCTTTTGCACAAGGCGGTACTCACGAGCGTTACTCTGGAAGATAACCCATCGAAACGTGAGCCGAAGGATTGGTGAAATCTGCTGTGATATGCTCAGAAGGCAGGCAGGCTCTCAAAATTGGAATGGCCAACTATGTGGAAGGAACAGATGGCTCGGTCCTGGTTGTCGTGAAGGTCAGGATCTTGGGTGGGTCCCAGACCAACCTCACTAGGCTAAATGGAACACGATAAGCACAAGCCAGATGGAACGGCTGAAGAACTCACAGAGACAATGCCTGCGCAATGTTCCATGAGAAACACTGGCACAGGCTCACGAAGTCGATCAAGTTTACTGGCATGGGTGGAGACGGGTTGTGTTTTCTGCAGGTCTAACCAAGGTCGGAGAAACTCTGCTAGGCAGGGATCGATGTCGTTGATGGCTGCGGCAGGCCATTGGTCTAGCTGGTAATGACACTGTTCAATATTTTCGGCAAGGAGAGCATGTATAATGGGTGCGAACAGGGGCAGGGGTGCTTGTTGAGTCGAGAGGATCCACAGGGCGAGGAAGAAGCCCTGTGCCCACCAGAATGCAGACTGGTCCACTGTGAGATTGTAAACTGGCATGCGGGGGTATAGGTATAGCGATCCACTGGGAAGCAAACTGTAGCAGCTGTCAGGATGAGTAGGATCAAGGAGCCATTCCAGAATGAGGGTCAAGGTCCCCTTCAGCAGGCTGTTTCCCATCGCTGATTGGTTGTGAATATGTATCTCTGCACGAGTGAAACCAGCTGGATTCCACCACGAATCTACTGTTGTGCCATCAGGAAGGGGAGGTTCTGGATGAGCATGATGATCAATAGCTTCATTGGGAGGCAGGGTGAATTTGAGGTGGCCGAGGTGAAGGAGAGTGTGCCAAAGGACTTCGGCTGCTTGGGGGATACTCTGAGCCATAATCACGAGCGGATCTTCTGTGTCGATATGAGTGTGCAGGGCATGGCGAAGGTCTTTTCCAGGGTGATCCCACTTGGGACAAATGAAGGGAGGAGGTGTGCGTGGTCGATGGGTGGGTACGAACATTTGGATCGAGCGCTGTTTTGTGGCATGAGTCAAGTCAAGGCGAGGGTTGATGTGGAAGTTACCTGAGCTGAACGATCACTTGCCGGCACATGGATGGGCTGGGTGGTCGGTGGATTACCGACCTCTGCTGGAGGATCGTGTTGTGAACTCGGCATTGCAGACGACTGGGGTAAAACAGGTGCATAATTCTGAAAAGGTGGGGTCGTTAAGCTCACTTGATGTCGTATTGGATTGGGACTTACATTGATATCAGGCATGTGGGGATTGGGGGGGCAATTTCGGACTCTGGGCATAGGGGATGCTGAGGGGTGTAGGTCTGGGGGTTCCCCATGACATAGTCTCAGGCATCACTGGTCGGGACCAACAGCATACTCTCCAAATGTTCGCGCAATGAAAGAAAGCCCAAAAAGCGCATGCGCTGCAAAACAAGGATGTGGCATGGCTGCTTTCACAGGGTGAATTGGAGAGTCAAAGTCTGCGAGATAGCAGTTGGCAATGGAGTGGATGATGTTGCCCTTCGTTGGTGCTGGGATGATATGAGGTGAGTCTCGTGAGTTCAAGCTTCAAGGATTAGTCAGGTGCTCACAGATCATAATATAGCTTTTAAAGCCTGGGTCGTCAGCCTGCCCCGACTCCTTAGCCGCTTTGCTGAAAGAACAATGTTGGGTAAGATTACTCCAGGTGAAATAGGTCTTGTTTTGAGCACTTGGAGCACAGACCAATCTTGTAGAATGTCGTACCATGCGGAATTGACGAAGGCACCATCCACTGTTATCGGGCTCAGCATTGGGGTCGGGATTGAATCTGGGAATTTTCGGAGTATCGCTGCGAGCTTGATGATTGATCAGAGCTTTTTGAATGTCAACATAACATTCGGCGTTCTTGTGCACATTGACAGGGAGGACCAGATGGAGGGACTGGAGGTGGCCGATGAGAGGTTGGACGTCTGAGAGTAGAATTTTGTACTTGGCAGACATGGGGTCATCAGCGTGAACGTCACCGTTGGGGTGATGACAATTACCGTTGGGACAACACAAGGGATCTATGAGGATGTCGAGTTCGACTACAACAGGCTGATTACCGTTACGACCCATTGCAAGATTTTGTACGAAAGCACTGCAAGCGTTGATGGACTGTTGTCATCGCTGGTTTGTGCTATTCCGGTTGTTTCTAACATTGACGATGGGCCCGGTGGGTCCCATGTACTGGGGAAAAGAGGGTGGCGGATGAAGCCCAGCGGTCAGAAGATCATTGGCAGCGGATTGTACAGGCTGTTGGACATTTGGAGGTTGGGAAGCGCCTGCAGTGCCGAGCACCTGTGCGACAAGAGCAGCGGGATTTGATTGAAGTGGAGTCAGCGCTGCAGACAGTGACGGAGCATGGACCACTTCAGAGGGGACTAGTGGGAAAGGGAGTGGGGACACAGCTGCAGAGGCTGGAGTGAATGGTGACGTGCTGTAATGTGGCACAGCCGAAGCTGGTGGTTGCGTGTTGGAAGGGGTGGGAGCAGTATTTACAGGTGGGGATGTAAAAGTCAGTGCAATGGCTGAGAGCACATCGTTCGCAGATTGGACTGGTGGGGACGGCATCGCCTGTGCAGAGTGAGCTTGTTCAGGAGCACCGCACTGGCAAACAGGCAGGTTGTGGGGTTGCTGTGGTCACGGTGTGAATTGAGAGTGGGGCGACATCGAATGAGAGCTTACCCGTACTTGGCCACGGCAATGGGTAGCATCGCAGACGTAGACAATCTCTCCGGGTGCGATGAGAGGTTGGTGGCATGCATAAAGGCAGCTGCATGTCGCACATCAGTTCTGGGTCAAACGTATGAGCGGTCGAGACAGAGTATAAAGAGAGTACACCCACCGTGGAATTTTGGAAGTCGTAGACGCCGACAACGAATGAGGAGCACCCTCTCTGACAAAGGAAACAAGCGCCGCATGGAGAATTAGTAACTTCCATGGAGGGTGAAGGGAATGAGATGAGGAACGACGAGATTTTTAGCCATGAAAGAGCGGGTGGTAATAAAGGAATAGTGATAAAGGGCTGGGGGATGATGGGTTTGACTGATATATGTGACAGGCCACAAATTTTGGGTGCAAATTTCAGGGTGCAAATTTTGGGCGCACATTGGATTTGTTGGAAATATGAGGCGACGGTGTGTCGAGATACACCTGACCATGCTATGGGGTGGTAATGTTTATGAAAATACTATTAGATAAAGTACATGTTTTGCATATTACGTCAAATAGACATATGTTTGCTAGATTTGACATCAATAAAGGGGTAATCAATGATTGAAATTATTGCAACAAATCAAATGCACGTGTGACAGCGCCGTGACGGTGGGCATGGATTCCCGTGAACTTCCGTGGAAACTTAACTGTGAATTGCAATGAAGGCTGTCAGGTTGGGTGGGCAGTTGTACCTACATGGGGGTCACGAGATGGGAATGGCGGCTGTGTCCTTGCCAAGAGTTACACGCTTTTGCACGGGGTTTCATGGGAGTTCAGGGAAGTACATGGATGTACACAGATGTGCATCAATTTACATGGGTGTACACTAATGTACATAGATGTACAGGCATGATATTAGGTTATAGTCCAAGGAATCCACAGATAGCCGGGACCTCATCAAGGCTAGCCATGACTTCTTGAGCGGTTTTCTTTGCTACGTTTCCGACACTGATGAATTGGCGAATCTCTCGGGTCGAGATCAGCCGTAGGAATCCTAGCACCGAATCCGGAACCATTCGTATCAAGGCTACGAGAAGATGTTCTAGTGCCGTTGAATTGGACTGTGAGGCCGTACTGGATTCGTATGTTAGATATGACAGCTATAGAAACAAAGGGAAGACTCTTTTTACAAGAGATGTTTTATCGCTTGTCCTAGCTCATTGTTATGACCATCGAGCGAACCAAAATTGTACCGGAAGGTGGCTTTTGGATATCAGGTCGACTAATGAGAGGTGCATATGCATGTCACTTGCCTAGTCCGATTATATCCAGGGTGGCCTTACTTGTCCAATCATGAATATTGAGGGTTTCCTCCGTACGTGTCAGAGATCCTTTAATACCGTCGACAAGCTATGATTGTCATCAAGCTTCTAAATATTGCCACGTTTATTGACGCGAATGAACCTACCTTGTCACTGCACTGTTGAAAGATGACTTGGGAACTCCGAAGGAGTGCAGGGGAGAAGGCGGGATTTAGAATCTTGCGTTGGCGGCGGTGGATTTCATCTAAACGCACTAGATAGTATGGCCTCGCATGAGAACTCGACTGGATAAGCACTCACCGTCAACGCTGAGAAGCCCCTTTCCAGTGACAAGACCCTGGATGAACTTATTGTCTTGCGATTTGGGATAGGGATTCGAAGGGTGGAAAATATGCTCGAGTGCCTTGGGATCACACACAACCAGAATGTCTTGCTACGAATATTTGATTTAATCGTGACAAGAACAGAGGTACAGAGCTTACTTACACCAAAACAGCCCTCAATGCGATAGAGGTTCCCATATTCCCGGCGCCATTTCGTTTCGAGATCGCCTGCGTTACCCTGATCGCGGAGCATGCGTTCATGGCCTGATTGTGCGGTGTGTGAACACGTATTTACACTGAGATACATGAATGAGAGCTCACCTAGCCAGAAAGAGGGCGATGGTGGTCCCTTGACGTGCTTGACTGAAGGTCGTTTAAGCCACCAACGAAGAAGCGAGGCTATGAGGAACGAGGCGACTGTAATGAATAATGCGGCCATGAGAAGAAAGAATTGGGGCTCTTCAAGTTAGGGTCAAGCGATACTTGCATTCCCAGTTTTTAAGACGCTCCTACAGTCAAGCGCTAATTGAATGAAGGTCGGCAAGTAGTGAGAGCTAAGCCGATTCGATGGCATGGTTGGCATGATAAGACAAACTATTCGTTCTTAACTGGGCTCACATTCAAGTGCAGCTCCACTTTGATAACGGACTAGAGAAAATTGGGCTGAAGTTTGCTCCGACTCTGTTGGAAGGCGGGCCGTGTGATCCTTCCTGAAACCCCAGGACATGCGGTCAGTAACAAGTCCGATGGAATAATTACTTGAATTTACCTGCCACCGTATTGACTTTTTTACCCGCCACCCGTCAGGAAGTGGAGCGTTCTTGTGGCATTGCTAGCCACTCCAATATTTGTGCCTGTTCGGCGGAACAGATACGTTTTAGCTCATTCTGTGGAGATTCGGCAGGACTTTGCTCGATCCATGTAATAATGTTCCTGAGAATGTGTTTAGACCACATTGACAAATCATTAAACCTTTCTTGCTCATAGAACCCTTGAGGCCATGATAACGGACGTCCGACGATTCTTCCGACCATCCTGGAAGAGATGAGCGAGAAAAAAACCATCATATCTGATGAAACCTGTCAATAGCAAGGTTATTGGGCAAACGCGAAGATGCAAATGCGTTTGTGATACTTTCTCCTCGTTTTTTAAATCGTCGTCGTTATATATTCTCTAGGTCTCATGTCTTCCACTCGGGACATCGTTTATGGTTCATGTTTGCCGCCTCCGACCTCAATAACCACTGGTGCTAGGGACAATAAAAGGTTTCCCGATAGGCAGGTTGCACCTTAGAAGCAGGCTCTATGATCCAAAACTGAAACTGTAGATGAGCGCAGCGCAAATTAGACGAACTCACTATGCCATGACTACACCCTTACCCTGCAGCTTAACGCTGGCCTGTCCCTCTAAGCAGGTGGTGGACAATAGACAACTCCACATCTTCGTGTGCCTCATAGTGGAAGAGATGATCAGCAGCCTCAGCGACGACACGGTTATTGCCGGGTGCGACGAATATGTACAGCTTGCACGGCTGCACATAAAGAAAACGGAGCCTAAAGGCACGGAAGTGCATGGCATGAACCTGAACCTAGTACAGTTTCAGTCAAGGCAGGTCGATGTCCGGTCCCAATCTAAAACGTTCCGATACTTACGGGCACCACGATTGCCTTGATATGAGAGGGAAAGAAAATATTTCATTTCAGGTAATCAAATATTCAAGGATTAACCAACGATACCCCACCATCAATACTCAAAATCGCTCCGTTCGTGTAGTCCGACACAGCCAAATAAACTGCTGTCATCCCCATCTCCGCCTCACTAGAAGTTTAAATCAACGACAGATCTCATCCAAATACTGGAAACACTCACGTTCCTTGTCTTCTCACAGGTATCGGCGCTGCGAGCCCAGGTGGTGGCTTCGTCTTGATTGTCTCAATAAATTCAGGACTTAAAATCTGCGATGCAAACGAGCCGGGTTGCACTGCGTTCACCCGAATCGGGATGTTCCTCTGAGCAAAGCTTGTCGCGAGAAGGAGGGTAAGCTTCTCCAGGGCTACTTTCGTCGCACAATACGCCATCTACATAGCAGAAGTTAGGTCCAAATCATGTTTTTGAAGGGAATAAACATACGCAAGTGATATATGCCATCGTGTTTAGCCTCGACGAGACACTGCTGATGTTGATGACGCTTGACGTGCCTTGGGGGCGGGAATGCGCTCCTTTGATGAGCAAGGATTGGAAGGCGCGTACGACAAAGAATGGTGCGATGGTGTTGAGCGCGAAGATATCCATCCAATTCTGTACTGTCTCGAGTTCGAGAGGATCCGTCGCGACGGACCTCTTGGCGACAAGGTCGGGGTCTCGAAGGGATGCGGCAAAGCCTGCACTACGAAAAGATTAGGGTATGGAGGAAAAGACCATAATAGACGAACTTGTTTACGAGGATATCGAGCTTGCCGTCGATTCCTTTGATGTGCTCTACACCGGCCTTCACACTTTCTTCGTCCGTCACGTCCATCTGAAGTCTGTTGCCATGCACGTCATGGAGGTATACCACGGGAAGGAAACTGTTGCTTACGGGACAATGGATCCAGGGAGGCCTGTAACAGACGCAGCGGCTTCCTCTAACACGTTCAGCCTTCGCCCAACGATGTATACCTTTGCTCCGTTTGCAGCGAAGGCTTTGGCAATGATAAGGCCTCTATCAGGGAGTCAACAGTGAGTCGTATTCGTAATCGGAAGCAGAGAACATACATTCCCGTCCCTCCGCCTGTAACAAGACCTACTCGTCCCGACAGCGACATCATTGTAGCCGCATTGAGATCTGCCATGTTGGTGGAATGCTGACTTCGGACGAGGTCCTCTTTATACAGCAGTGGCTCAGAGTGTATCCCAGCGATGGCCGTGGAGGGCTGTTTCGGCATTGCAAAATCTTGTCGTCATCCTCCCAGTACGGCCAGAAACCATGACCCAAGTTCTCTTTTTTTGGATTCGGAAGCTCATCGTGTGAACGACGGAATTTTTCTATCCATATGCGGATGACGGTTCTCTCGAGAAATGCGAAAGCGAGGTTGGGCGTAAAAGAGTGGGATGAATCTTTGGCGCAGTTATAAGATGGATAGACGCATCCAGCCGACTTAAAATAGGGTCGGGAAATATTTTCATTGACTCCAGGGCAAGCTACGTCTCCCAATCCTGTGTCCTAAACCTTCACGAACTATAATATCAAGTCAGGGAATAGATCTGGCTGCCTGTATACATGCGACGCACCTCAAGCTTATCATTATCAGCGCGTTCAACGCAGCAGTATAATCCTTGCCCCACGCAAAACGCGGCAGCATCCACTTGACCGTGTCAGAGTGTTTAAATGATATCGACAAGCCTTAAAGTCGCCAGAATACGCGATCTGAGCGAGACCTTGTCATGTATCCCAGTCTACCCTTGTCCGAGATGACGATAATGGAAATCGCGATATGCTGGTTTCGAGGGTCGCCATGTTGTGTGCTTCTCATCGCCCGTTTCTCCTCTTTCCCTTGCTGCCGACACGGAAGTCAACACTGGAGTCTGGAGATCGCGTCATTTCGTGTGCTAGATACCACCAGGTTCATACCTGAGCTTTGTCGTTCGTATTCATCGTGGTATATCCAGTAACGGATGCGTCCTTGTTAGCAGAGAAGGAAAAACTTGAATGGATAACGAAGACGCGAAGAGCAAGGGAGCATGGTGGTGGTGATGGTGGTAAAGGACAAGAGGCAGCGTCGGAGTTTCAAACACAGCTTGAACTACAACCACTACCGTCGTCTACTACTGTCTACATCACCTTTACCACGCCCTTTCCTTTCTTCGACCTCGAAGCAATGTTCAAATACAGACAGATGATGGGCACTGTCTGCGAGAAGATGGACCCGGCACACCACAAAGAATTTGAATTTGAGAGAAGCTGAAGAACTCCAGTGTCACCTAGAACTCCTTCAATTTACCGCGGACCTGCAAATCGCCCGAGTCGAAGTAGCGATGGCCAAGGATTATCGACAGAAGCAATCTCGTCTTCGTCAGCGGGCGGCAGAAATCGATAGAAGCAAGGCGAGAATGCGTGAAGCGTTCGGTGAAGACTCTGGTACGTCCTGCAGATGCATCGGTTCATGCTTAGTATATTCATTTTATTTCAGATGGGTACAGGCTACTGCTTGCAGAAGAACAACTGGTCTCTCATGAGTGACTATGCTCCTCGCTGCCATCTCTGTGACTCGCCAACGTTTGGTTGAACAGACTAACTGACGCGATGATTCTTCGTCTGCTCTCGTCAAAACTTTTGTGGCTCGTGATCTTCTCTGTGGCCCTCCTGTGGTTTCTATACCTGTAACTTGACAGTATGCCTTAGCGAAACATTGCAAATGCTCTCATCATATTCGTTTTAACAGTGTTTATACTATCCTCTGTGTACCTTTCTTGAAAGGATCATCTGTCTACTGTTGTACCCGTACCATATCATAATGAAATTCGATGTGAATCGAAAAGAAACACTCGCCCTAGTAGAGATTCCGGAGAAGCTCGTTAGTGAATTGTATGTCCAACCTTTAGCTTTGACCTCATCCCTCCGATTCCTTTGAAGAAGCTGATATCCCCAAAACCCTCAGCTTATCTACTTGCCATTTCTAAGTGACTTCGTATTTTCTTACTCTCGTTACATCAGATACAGTACTCAAACAGTTAAGGATTAACCAGCGATAATCCACCATCAACGCTCAAAACCGCTCCATTCGTATAATCCGACACTGCTAAATAAATCGCTGTCATCCCCATCTCCGCGTCCCTAGTAGCAACCCAAATCAGCAACGAATCTCATTCAAATGCTGAACACACTCACGTCCCATGCCTCCTCGCAGGTATCGGCGCGACGAACCCAGGCATTGGCTTGTCAGTCTTGAGTTCCTCCATAAACTCAGGAGTCAGCTGCTCCGACGCGAACGCCCCTGGCTGCAGAGAGTTCACGCGAATGGGGACACCCCTCCCAGCAAAGCTCGTTGCCAGAACGAGAGTAAGCTTGTCCAAAGCTGCTTTCGTCGCGCTGTACGCGAACTAAAACAGGTTAGTTCAAAATGATGGCAGCCTGAGCATGAGGGAGGGCACATACGCAAATTATGGGCGATATGTTCATCTTTGCCGACACGCTGCTGATGTTGATGACGCTTGACGTGCCTTGAGGGCGAGAATGTGCTCCTTTGACAAGGAGGGATTGGAAAGCGCGTATGACGAAGAATGGCGCAATGGTGTTTAGCGCGAAGATGTCTGTCCAGGTCTCTACTGTCTCCGGTTCAAAAGGATCCGTGGCTGCGTACTTCTTCGCGATGAAGTCAGGATCGCGAACGGAACTGCCAGTTCCGGCACTATGAAGAGATTAGAAGGGGAAAGGGAATCGAGCAGGTCATAGACGAACTTGTTCACTAGGATATCGAGCTTGCCGTCGATTTCTTCGATGTGTTTTGCACAGGCCTTGACGCGTTCTTCGTCAGTCACGTCCATCTGGAGTCTGTGGTGGCGTCAACAACGAATACCTGGGAGGAAGAACGTTCACAGACGGGATAATGGATCCTGGGATGCCCGTAACAGATGCGGCAGCCTTCTCCAGCACGTCCAGCCTTCGCCCGGTGATATACACCTTGGCTCCGTTTGCAGCGAAGACTTTGGCAATGCTGAACCCTCTATCGGAGAGTCAACTACGAGCTATAATTCGAGAATCCCGAGACTCACATCCCCGTCCCTCCGCCTGTAACAAGGCCTACTCGTCCAGAAAGCGACATCACCGTAGCCACACTGAGATCTGCCATCTCTTGGGAATGCTGGGTGGTCTCTGGACATGCGATCCCTTTTATACAGCAGATGCCCCCTAGATGTCATACCTTTAGTCTTATTCAGCGACATTTTACCCGACGTAGGCGGTAAATCCCTCGCACAGACAAGGGACCGCGTACGATCGTCATGACAAAGGTTTTAGTACTCGGGCGGCCAGCGGGCGGTTATCTTATGTATTGGGCCTTGGACGCGCGTCACGGCAGGAAAAGGAGTCTTGACGGTGATTATTCATGCTGCTAGATGCATGCCGTAAAACGGTCTTTGCGCCACAAGCGTATCTGACTCGTTTGCATGCGAAATGAGTGCCTCGGTTCCGACCAACAGTGACTCGGAGTCCCATTACTTCATTCGAGCATTCTGGACTCGGTTAATAGGGTATATTCTATATTTCGAATAAATGAATAGGGAAGAGCGGCGTACGGCCAAAGCTTCAGTCCAAATACGTGCACGGCTTCTAAATGTGATATCAACAGTTAACTTCGAGCGATCTTTCCACTTGCTGGGCATGAAGTACTAAGGTCAACAAGTTTCGGTGTGCTTCAGCGGAGAGTTCTTGACTAGTATACGGCCGAAAGTCAAATAAGTTAAAACTCAACTTTACATCGAATCGTAGTGCCCCACCTATTCAGTCACAAACCGCATAAGGTGTACAGCGTGAACCTTCGCTGGGTTGACTCAAACACAAGGAGATAAATAAATAAATATTATTTTTGGATAATTTCCATTTGTACTTGCTCTTCAAATTCGGAATACTCCGATCAACTTCGAACTGGAACTACGATTCCATAATCACCTTGTAAAGCCATCCTGGTGCACGCCATTACTGCGACCTTCGCTCGCCCTTCGCTGATGGATGATGGGAACAAAGAATTGTTTGCCAACTGCTTCCTGTGCGTTGGCACATGATGACTCAGACGCAACTTGACTCGAATCCAATACTACCTAGCGTTACCCCGTTGCAAGGTCGTTCATCTATGCTCTATCCATTCGAGAAATGCATTAATTCCTGATCAGAATGGCGACACCCCCAACACGGACCGACAAATCCCAATTCGATCCCTGTTTCTCTTCATTTATCCCTGACTTTTCGCAGCCTAAAAGGTCTTCCAGGATCGAGGATCTTCTCCCTTCTAATAATCCGCCGAGGGAGTTTGAAAAGGCAGATCTGGTCAAGATCGCTGCCAGAGGCCCTCGTACTCTTGACGAATACGATGGGAAAATTGCCGCGACACGCAAGTTGTTGGATTTTTTGGTTTCTGAAAGGGACCAGGCTGCTTCCAACATCTCCGACGCCAAGGCTCTTGTCCACCCTGTGCGCGATCTGCCGGACGATGTACTACGTGCGATCTTTCGTGCGTGTACTAGGCCGGTAGACGAGGCGTTTAATAGATCTTTTCGAGAGATCGTACATCCATCTATAGGTATCGAATCGATCCAACCAGACCAGTCGCCATGGACCCTTTCCCATGTTTGCCAGCAATGGAGAACTGTTGCTATACACACTGCGGAGTTGTGGTCTCTCATCGAACTCAATCTAGATGAAAGACCTAAAGACAAGGTGCTTGCCAGGAATCGTGTGTTCAGACTTGGTTTACAATTGTTCCGAGCCAATGGTCGCGATCTCTCCGTTCGTCTCCACGGCAGGAATGGTGTTGCGAACGTCTCTCCGATCCTTCAAATTCTGCTCCCTACCGCTCAGTATTGGAAGCGACTATCAGTCTTCCTTCCTCTCAACTCATTCCAACACTTTTCTGTGTGCAAGGGCTCTCTAAATCGCCTAGATACTCTTTACATAGGCGGTCCAAGTGATTTCCGTGACTGGGGTGTTAATGATGCTTTCCAGTTTATTCCGAATTTAAGGCTCCTCGGAAGTTTCTTTGGAGATTTGCCATTTTTGGCATACTTTTCTATGCCATTTTCGAGCATCGAGGCCTTTATGTCTGGAGGTGACAACACACGGACATATGAATCCCTCAAAAGACTTCCACATGTACAGAAGCTCTTCCTCGCATGCTGCTGGCGTTTCATCGATGAGCTGGCAGAGCCAATCACTTTACACGACGTGACTCACCTTCATATATTGGAACCCCCCTCCCTTCAACGTGTTTCTTCTTCCAGCATCAATATGTATTCCCACCTCATCCTCCCATCGCTTCAATTCCTGAAGCTGTCCTTCATATCAAGCCGGATCTCCCTCCCAGTTATTACCGACCCAAATTCATGTCCCATCACGTCACTCACTATCGACATCTGCGGTCAATCGCCGCAGGAATGCGCTCGGCTAGACGATGAACTCCCTCACTTTTTACGCCGAACTCCTAAACTGGAGGAGTTGCGCATCTTGGCCACAAGCACGGAATTACCAGGTCGATGGGTCAACGATCTGGTATACATATCGGGGCAAGATGCAATAGCTCCGCGTCTCCGTGTTTTAAGTATGCCAAGCGGTCACATTCCAGCGGAGAATATAGGCGGTCTTGTAAACGTTGTCGAGTCCCGAAGAAGAATGGATGTTGATTCATCGGACACTGGGCATTGTGCGTTGTTGGAGAAAGTGGTGCTCGGCCCTGAACCTGTATGGTTTGACGACGAAGAACTCTCAGCAAGATGGTCGGCATTGCGAGCTGGAGGCCTGATTGTCACTTGCAAAGAAGAATGAGGTTGGAGAGACTCATGTACGTGTTCAGCTTCACCGTTCGTGGACTTGATCAAACCAACATTGAAGGTCAAATACGAAGAGAACCATGAGCGGAAGTACCTGTTGATTCCCAACATGTTTCTGCCGAGAATTCAGAAGCAACGTCAACTAACGATAACAATTCATTCCTTCCCCAATCATCTAATATTTGTTCCTTCCAAACTTTCAAACTCTCCGAGATCTGAGTATGTCCTCTTGTATAATAAGTAGTAGTGTCTATTCCATCTATGCTTTCCTTCTCACAGGCGTCATCATTCATGTCCTCGTCAAGACAGACCGCGTTTAGCTCCGAATCATGGATGTTGCCAAGGCTTGGCTACCAGACTGCGGGGACATGTCCTGACGTATCCCCCTCAACAACCCTGACTTAATAAGTCTATCTTCGAGCGGCTCCTTTCGGACAATCAAGGTAAGCATATCCCGGGAGACAGTATGCATCTTTTGCAACCGAAGAGGATCGTTCCTCATCAGACTCGATTTAACACTCTCCATGGTAAATTCTTGGCGTGCTTCATCAACAAGCTTGACGGGATCACTCGTAATCCTGGTGATAACGTGCCGGTGTAGTAGGGTATCCTGTCGTGGCCGGAGGGATCCATGCGCTATTTGAGCCTGTTTGGCAGCGTCAGTAGTCAGATCGTAGCTTCGCATCGTAGACAGCACAAGAATCACCATCTGATATTCTCATTTCTGCTCTCAGTCAGCTCGGGCCATCCCACCAGGAAGTAAGCGGAAAGCAGAATCGTGACGCCGTTTCCTAGACGAAAGGGGCTTTGAGTAAAGAGAGGGATCGGACGAATAGGACACGTTTGGAGAAGGGGTTGAAGACTATGACCAGTTAAATCGCGTGCTGTAGGCTACAAGAGCGATGTAAAGTGTGATTGAGCGCTGAAACCAGGAACATGAGTGAGGAGGGAGGTCTGCTTATTTATATTCGTGCCACGTACCTCGTGTTGATCGTCTTCAGCAGCTCTGCACCCAAATGATGAATGGCTGGTTTTGTACCGGATCAAGGAAGATAATGGACTGCAGGTAGAGAGACGGCGGCTATCTTCACCCTCTATCTCACTTTGCTACCGCCTGTCTTGTAGCTGATGGCCATGAGTTGTACACCGCTACGTTCGGTCTGGACGCTGGTGCTGACATGGTATGTGCCCATCATCGTGTTATTCCTGTTCACCTCCTCGCGTAGAACTCATCGCTAGGTTCTCCTGCTACCTGGAATTCAATCAACCCTAAGTATGTTAATCGAAGCTCAGTAACGATATCCATGCTGCCATACCTTTATGAGTAACGAATCCCCTGAGTATTCGCTGTCTTGGAAGGCAACTCGAACAGCATCGATCCAGAGGCGGCCAAAGAATTGGATATGATGGTGGTCGGAGATCAACAAACATGCCGGACGGGCCGGCGCATCAATAATGTTTACTCCTACCACCATGATCCTGGCGACGCTCCTTCGTTCTCCTTGCTAGAGCGCCGGTACCGGCATCAGTGACGCACAAGCAACCCAGGACGCGCTATCACCTCATGCACCCGATGACAATGCCACAATAATACTGCAAGAATCTCAGCATTTACTGGTATTTTTCGACATTCAAGTTGCCCACCCTTTCTGTTCTATGCTAAATCTCTCCGCCGAGAGTGAAATAGTGATATCTGCCGTAGGCGAGCTTTTCCGTAAAGAATTTGACCAATTCATAACCGGGATGACCTTCACATCCGTGTCGTGCAAGGAGTAAAGGCACTGCTATGCTAATAGGTAAGTTTGGCCATGCTGTTCTTCGCTTTTCTATAGTATTAACTTTGAGTAAGGTATTCTGAGACGGTGCTTGAACCAGTATCAGAAAGTCTTGTACGCGGTGACAGCCTTGGAACTTGAGACTGCTCGCTTGTCCTAGCCACCGGTCTTTGGAAGAATCAAAACATCCGTCATGACGGGTCATCTATGGTAACATGGTGCCCAGCATTCCTATCTGACCCATCAAGAATACGGGCGCCGAAATCCCGAATTGAATTCCAAGCCTTGAAGGACAGGAACAATGATTCGAAAAGCGATGAGGTGAAAAGTACCTACATCTTTGCCTAATGATTTAATATCCATTCGTTCGCTCAGACTGAGACCATATACATGTCAACACTCTTCTGTGAAGAAGCTTTATCATGTCTTCCCGCGAAGCTCGGAGGAATAAATGGGTGTTAACTGCATTCGTTGTTGGCGTACGTCCATTATCATATATCTAAAAGGTTCTATACGCTGCAAAGCTTACAAATGCGTCTTCAGGTATCCTTGTATGAATTTTGTGGAGCAAGATGCACCTGAATAACCCACGGACAAGTCAGTATTATTCTTGAAACGCATATATTGCGGACAGGAACAAGTCTCGGAGAAGTGAGCAATGCTCCGAGAACGCTCCACCTCTAGGCGGCGTAGAATGAACGCTTTGATCGGTAAGTTGTTCCATTACTGACCACATGCTCAATACAGGTCGCTGACAAGCAGTTAACGAGCGTTATCTTCCCGGTGCGATTGCATCAAGGTCGTAGCCAGATACAACATGCGCTGATGATTCAGCAGGCCAAACCCGGGATAGCCTTCTCTCTTCCATTCATTACAACAGTGGAGTACCCCAGTTCAAGTTAGTTCTGAGTGGGACGGTTGCTATTCAGCTTGCCTTATGGAATGTTCGGTCAATATGAGTTCCGAGGTTTAGCTCAGGGAGGTCTTTTTGCTCAGCGAACCTTCATTCAATTGTCAAACTCTACCAGTATCTTATTTAAAGATGGGAGTATATCGTTGAATCTAAGAATCGCAGTTCTTTCTTCACATGGTCGCATTATTCTTTGTAATTGCTTCGCTCCTCGTAAGCACTCTGCTTCATCGATGGCTCAGACGACCGTCAGTCAAGCACGTCAAGGGACCACCGTCGGCCTCTTTCTGGCTAGGTAAATGATCATATATTCGTACAAACACGGGCTCATAGTACATACTTGATACCACCAGGTCACGAACGCGTTCTCCGCGATCAAGATAATGCCGGTGATCTCGAAACGAAATGGCGAAGGGAATATGGCACGCTTTATCGTGTTGGGGGCTGCTTTGGGGTAATCAAGCTCTCTATCTCTCGTGGTCACAGTTCAGCCAACAATCCTCTAGCAAGACGTCCTGGTAGTATGCGACCCCAAAGCTTTCGAACACATTTTCCATCAGTCACGACCTTATCCAAAATCGAAGGACATCGTCTTCATCGAGGATCTCCTCCTTGGTCAGGGGCTTGTCACTGTCGGTAGTGAGTGTCCATCCTTTCCAGTTTGCACGCAAACACACCTAACATATTCAGATGAAACTCACCACCGCCAACGTAAGATCCTGAATCCGGGATTCTCTCTTACGCACTCCGAAAATACGAGGTTATCTTTCAGCAATGCTCTGACAAGGTAGGTGCATCTGTACACCAAGAAGCGCGACAACGTTAGGAAGCTTATAGCGATTCTAGCTTGTGAACGAGATCGGGAGAACTGTGACTGGTACAGATAAAACCGTCAATGTCCTTGATTGGACAAGCAAGGCTACCCTGGACATAATTGGGCTGGGTGAGTGCTGACCATTCCTCTCCTCCTCTCCCATTTGGTATGAAATTCGAAAGCCTCTTTCCGGTATGATTTTGGTTCGCTCGATGGTCAAACAACAGAGCTAGGGCGAGCAATGAAGCATCTTTTGTAAGATCTGTTTCTTTATTTCAATGGCTACTGCATCTAACATCTGATTTCAGTACTGCCTCGCAATCCAATACAACGGCACTAGAGCATTTTCTTATAGCTCTGATACGAATGCTTCCAGATTCGGTCCTAGGATTCCTACAGCTGATCTCCACTCGAGAGATTCGTTTAATCGCCAGCGTAGGAAATGCCGCCAAGAAAACTGCCCGAGAGGTCATGGATAGCCCGGATAACAAGGCGCAGACGCCAGGAGACGATAAAGACGTCGTTAATCTCCTAGGTAAGACTACTGGTCCTATCTAATAACACGCCTATGAACATGACAACATCTCTAGCGAGAGCTCGCTCAGCAGGAAAAATGCAAGATGACGAAATCGAGGCGCAGCTAATGTTCGTGTCATATTTCTACTTACCCTTCTTGATGGCGACCTTTTGTGTTCCAGGACCTTCGTCATTGCCGGGCACGAGACGTCGAGCACTAGCCTATCCTGGTTGCTATACGAACTCACCGTGCATCCTGAGCATCAGTCCATAATTCGCGCTGAGCTCAAACAGTCAAACGACTACGACTCTATGCCGTTCTTGAACGCAGCCATCAAAGTGAGCTTTGTAGCTGCATCGGATGCTGACGTTGACTTCCAGTAATAGGAGGCTTTACGTCTACACCCAATTGGACATTCCTTGATACGCACTGCTCCTCATGATGACGTCCTCCCTCTCTCCGAAGGGAGAACGCTTGCCATACCCAAGGGGCAGACACTGGTTTGTTCCGCTTACCTATACAACCGGTATGCTCTTCCCATGTCACTTTACTGCACATTTGATGCCAGCATTTTCTAGTCTTCCATCTCTCTGGGGAGATGACGCGGAAGATTGGAACCCTGGTCGGTTTCTTGACAAGACTCTGCCGGTCTCGCTTGGTGTGTACGCTAATCTGTGAGTGAGATCTTGACTTTGTATGCGCTCTTAAGACTTGGATGGAATGTTAGGATGACATTTAGTGAGTCGTGCTTCGGTACTTTCTTTCTTTCACTTATGTGACCCTCAGGTGCTGGATCTCGTTCATGCATCGGGTAATTGACCCTATGATTCATCTTGTTCCGTTGCTGATACTCTTCTTCTGTCGTAGGTGGCGATTTGCGTATGTACCTCGTAGTTCCAGTCTCTCTTCAATCCAGCTGATCTACAAAAATGCAGCGTCGTGGAAATGCAAACAATCCTAGCTAACCTGATTCAGCACTTCGAATTCAGTTTGCCTGAGGGAGGAGTCGAGATCCTACATTTTCCTGGGTCACCAGCGGTCGTACCCATTGTGAGAGGGAAAGCACATTTAGGCTCTCAGCTACCTCTGTTGGGATTTGGCAATCCGGCATCATGCCGAGTTTGCTTATTAAGGTAGAAGTCTTAGGAAAAGCGTGGAAAGTTCTAGTAAAAGTACATTTAGTATAAAAGTAGGTACTGTAGCGTAGATCCTCATGCGTTTGCAGAGCTCAGCCAAGCGCAATACTATTGGCTTGCTACCATGCATGTGACACTGGGAACGAACCGATACCCCGTTTTCCAACAACCTCTAAGGGTGAGGGTTTTACATTAGTGAATGATATTCGCTTCAGGACTGAGTGTTGTGTATTTGTGTGTACTGAGCATGTTTGACGTCACCCATTGTTTCATTGGCAAAGATTCGTCGTATCTTGTAGGACTACATATGGTCTACCGACCACTGAGGCCTTCGAAGATTTATTTGATGAAAGGGAATTTTTAGGTGATTACATATTCAACTTAGCTTGATTACCGGGCCGACCACTACACAAACAAAGAGACGGCTTGAAATAGTATTCTTTCTCCTTTCCGACCCACCATTCTCTACGAAGGCTTCTCATGGATGACACCCCCACCAGGTACATCGTCCGCTTCAGTGCATACGGAACGTCATGCCTAGACCTCACACAGCGCTGAACCCCCAACGGCATGGATAGCAGGGGAAAACGGGCAAGGTTACGCGAAACGTGAGACTTATTCACCTGCAGAACGCGAAATCTGGACAGAGGTACGTGATTAGGCGTTTTCCTACGTTCTGGACAGTGGAGATAACTACACTATGCATCAGTACGTCGAAGAGTTCTCGAGTCCACTGCAACACATAAACTACAAAGAGTGGCTCCGCACCATGCGCAGTATCATCGTCGAAATGGGTTCCCTGCAGCAAGCCGATGCCAGAAGACATATCGGGGACGTTTGTTGGGAAGCCATGGTGCTACTTGATATACCACGCCGGTACCGTTACCATGAGAACTTGTCTGATATCAAGAACTTGAATTGGGATTTGGAACCCGTTAAGGTTTCTTCTCCGGTAATTCATGGTTTCTTTAAAGATTCTTGTGAAAAGGGCTCATGCTGACTTGTAGTGCAATGTATGCCGCATGTCTAAATACCCATGTCATTATACCAGTAGAGATGCTGCCAGCGAGTGTCGGGAATGCTACTTCCAAGGACAGACCTGCTCACTGGGAAATAGCCAGCGAGCGGGCAAGAAGCGAATGCGGGCCGATTCCGTCGAAGAATACGAGGAATCCAAGCCTGCTGAATCAAAGGGAAAAGAGAAAGAACACAAACGGAAGAAACGCAAAACGGAGCCGGAAGAGGACAAATGGGACTCCAACCTTATCAAGCGCCTCGAGCTTCAACTGGAAGCAAAAGAGCGGCAGGTGGCTAGTCTCTCGGACGAAAGGAACAGACTCCAACAGTGCTATGATGTATCGACAAACCGCATTGCGCAGCTACAGGAGGAGGTTTCTCGGCAAAATATTCGAATACAGGAATTGGAAGGCAGGTACGCCCAAGGGACAGATCGGAAGTGGTGGGAGAAGGCGACAGGCAGATAAGTTTAAGGATCTTGCTGGGTACAAGGTTTCTTCGGAGCGAGGACTGGAGGCCTTGAGGCCGAATCTGCAGGCTGAGCATCCGGAGTATAAAGAGGTTAATGAGAAGAATAACACGATTATTGTAATATTGAACAAATGGCTCAGGTAGTTATTTACGTGTATCCTCGCTATTTTGACTGGAATGAAGTGGCTCTCCACTGAACACGCGATGAGTGAACATTCGCAAGTTTTCACCATTAACTAATTTCTGACAAAGGAAAGAATGGCCGGGAACATCGGACATCACCACATTGAAGTAAGTATCTTATCAAAAGTAAAGCGACTTCGAAGCACGCAAACATAATCGTCGACCATTTCGTATAACACTACCCACAGGAAACAATTCCAAGTGAAACGTAGTGCGATAAGATTGAACAAACAAGGACGTTCTGGAAACATCAAATAGAACATTTGTAACAAGGAATCCGATGAGCCATCTCTGGGTTCGTATCAGCGGAAAGTCTAGCCAATTACCACAGACCCGAAATCGAAGCGTACGATTTTGGTGACCGGCTGGAGCACGCATCCTGACGTGTCTTCCTCAATAGTTCCAACTCATCAAGCGCAAGGCTATCTTCAAACGACTCCTCTCGGACGATCAAAGTAAGCGTATCCCGGGAGACAGCATACACCTTCTGCAACCGAAGAGGAGGATCACTCTTCATCAGATTCAAGTCAACGCTCTCCCGCGTCTTCGTGATAAACTCCTGGCGCGCTTCGTCGACAAGCCGGACGGGATCACTCCCCGCACCAGCCATCCGTCGTTTCTTCTTGACGAGATTGCTAATGTGCACATCAGATTTAGAGCGAACGATGTAGGTGGGAACTTCGTATCGCTCGGCGAACTTCAAGATGGCTAGGTCTGTGGCGGTGAAGCGGTTGTTGAATAGGACGATGATAGCGCCAAAAATGTAGAGACCCTGGTCATTAAAGTAGGTCCAGTCGGAGCATGCGAGCGTCCCCGATCCCGGGACATCGAACCAAATGAAAGGTTTGGCGGTGTCAGGGTCGGGGTATGAAGTGACAACGGAGGTGCTCTCCATATAGTCAGTTGAAGCAGCACCATCCTCGCCGTCCCATATGCCCCGAAGAGCATTGATGAGAGAAGATTTTCCAGTTCCTGATATTCCGGTGATGGCAACATGGAACTTTCCCTCTGTGTAATAACGTCGTTTGGTCGACTCGAAATGCTCCCTAGAAGGTAGCTCGATAGGATGGATGCCCTTTCTCCATTTTGTCTCTACTTCCTTCCGAGCCTGAAGTGCCTTTTCCATCTCCGCATCCCGCTTTCTAGCCTCCCCATGCAGCTGGTTAGCGCGTTGTGCCGCCTGCTGCGCCTCTAGCTGTGCGCTCCTGGCGTCATTGGCTTCCTCTTGCTTCTCTCTCCGCAGCTGCTCGGCACGACGATAAAATCGTCTATGTGTCTTCGGAGCCGCTCTTCCATCGAAACCAACAACGAATTTTCTTTGAATGTTATTTTGGATCCTTCTCATGGAATAACAACAGTCAGAAACCAAATGTCGACGTCACCGCACAGAATACATACCTAAAGGTCAAATAACAGATTGCGCTGGCCAAAGTCTTGGAAGTTCAGCTTTGAAATCCAAAAGTGAACATATTCAGAAGAGGAAGAACACAAGTATTTTATGTGTACTGACAGAGACGACGACGTGCTTTAGAGGCGAACACCAGAGAGAGGACAATAAGACAGATGGAAACTGTAGTACACAGAAAGCATCACAGACAAGGTTCTAGCCGGATTGAGCGCTCTGCAGCATTTCCCGCAGTCTTTATAGGCGGGTTCGTGGGCTCATATTCCTGCTTCTTCACATTCATCACTATCCTATACAAGTATAACTCTGTATTTCACGGAAGATCAGAAAATGCGTCAAACCTTGGAAATGGATGACTCTTGATATGGCGCCATTCGCACATATCTTTGCAGCCCTCACGGTGTTTCGTGACTTCGCATGATGAGCTGCAGCAGCCAAGGTACTCGAAACTGCACGTCTTGTGATGATACAGACTCAAGACAGATGTAGTACCTTCCACGGAGAGGTTGAGGAACACCATGAGGCTGATAGACGCTGCCCGGTGATAGGAAGGACAGCTGGTGAATATATTATAGTGATTAGAATCCATTTTGATGTGCTGAGCGGGAACAGGATGGAGCGCTATGAAGAGTCTCGCCCAGCAATTGAAGTGGTAGCTGTGAAGTGGAAGATCATTTGAACGCAAGAAGGGAGGCTTCCACCACGGCCTTAACTCGAGCTCCCTGAAAACTAAAACTTCAGATCTGTCACATAACTGAATATAACTAAGATAGTATCCATCCTCACCGTGCGTGCCTCGTCATAAGACTGCGAGGCCTGACGCACTGCAATGGCTGGTGCGTTTTTGAAGGCGTAAAACGAGATTCTAAAAGGTTTCTATTTCAGCTTCAGTTTTTACGCCTCCGTTTGAGTACTGTAAAACGAAACGTTATAAAGGGAAAGAATTTTCATACCGTTTTACAGACGGTGTTTTCGGGACTGATAAAGGCTTCGCTAAAACAAAACTTTCCAAGGTTTCGTGTCTTACGATCTAAAATAAACCGGCCTCTGCTGTGACGGGGAAGCGGCCGTCAAACCAAAACTTGGGGAGCGCGCTTGTAGCATGAGAACAATGCGTAACTCATTGATCGTCTTCATGCATATCACTCCATGTGCAGCAGCATCTGTATGATACGATAATGATGTTGTTTCATCTGCTCTCCAACAGATGTAACAGCATTGGAAGCTCGAGGCATACGCAGCCAGTCGGAAGTGCGGACAAAGCGCGATGGGGTGAATACTGAGGACCTTCAATCGTTGAGTAGACGCCACCGCTGAGTGACTGGAGATCCCTTTGGGAATAGTCCGTCAAATGCATGTCATTTTTGTCATCATCTATGCAGATATCAAATCAGAAAAGAGCGAATCAAATCACGCAGACGCACTAGACCTAAGGCTGAATCGAGCGGCAACACTGGTGGTAGATATTCTCTTCATGGTCAGAGTCGAACGTCTAGTTGCACCTGTGATGTTGGCGTCAGTTCAGTTATTCCCACGCCACTACCGCGAGTCCGAAACTTTAATGTTCTTTCTCCTTTCCTCTCCTCTCTCCTCAATTTCTTCCTCACAGGAAATTCAACACAGGGCCTAAATCCAAGGCCTGAAATTAAAGAGAAGGCAGCAAATGCTCACCGGTAAATTAAATAACAATGTGAAGTGAATTTGAACTTGGCCACGTACAGATACAAAACCAGACTAAAGTTGAACTAAAACTAAAGACAAACACCGTCCTAGAAGGAATACGGAGAGGAGAAAAAATTCGTGAGGAGAGCTTATTTTGTAAAGAACTGAACAATGTTCATGCCCTTCTTCATGACATCCGATATCGTACCATTCGAGTTAGATTGTCGCGAATATCCATCCTGAAGGATGTCCCCCAGTAGCTCAAACTCGTTGAGCACAAGCATATCCTCGAGCGGCTCTTTTCGGACAACTGCCGTCAAGGTATCCCGGGAGACAGCGTACATCTTCTGCGACTGGATATGAGGATCGTTCTTCATCAAATTCAACTGGACGCTCTCCTGTGTCCTCGCGATGTATTCCTTGCGAGCCTCATCAAGAATCTCTGCGGTAATAGCCGTGCCCCGAGCCTCCCGCCTTTTCTTCTTGATAATATTCTCAATGTGGATGTCGGATTTGGAACGAACAATGTAGGTCGGGATGTTGTACCGTTCGCAGTTCTTCAAGATGGCGACGTCAGTTGCGGTGAAGCGGTCGTTGAACAGGACGATGATGGCGTCGAAAATGTAGAGACCCTGGTCATTAAAGTAGGTCCAGTCGGAACATGCGAGTGTCCCCGACCCCGGCACATCGAACCAGATGAAAGGGTGGGCAGGATTCGGATCTGGATATGGAGTGACAACCGAAGTACTTTCGACGATATCGGTCATAGCAGCACCCTCGTCATCATCCCATATGCCTCGAAAGGCGTTGATGAGAGATGACTTTCCCGTCCCCGAAATACCAGCGATGGCAAGGTGAAACTTTCCTTCCTTATAAAAACGACGTTTGGTTGCCTCGTACTTCTCCTTGGAAGGCCACTCAACCGGATTAATCCCTGTCTTCCACTTAGCTTCCATCATCTTCTGGTTCTCGGAGACTTTCCTCCGCTCAGCCTCCTTCTTCCGCACCTGCTCTTGCAACTCGTCTGCAGCCTGCGCCGCCTTTTGAGCTGCCTCGTGCTCTCTTTTTACAATCTCCATCTGCTCCTGCTTCTCCCTCTCCAATTGCTGTATGCGCTGGGCCGCCCTTCCAGCCTCCTCTTGCTGATTTTTGATTCTCTGGGCCTGTGCCTGCCTTTCTCTTTCCAGCTGCTCGGCATGTTGGGCAGCTCTCTGTGCAGCCTCCTGCTGGATTCTGATCCTCTCCGCTTGCGCCCGCCTCTCTTGTTCCAGCTGCTGAGCGAGTTGGGCTGCTCTTTGGGCTGCCTCCTGCTCCCTCCTGAGCCTTTCGGCCTGCGCCTGCCTCTCCCGTTCTAACCGTTGAGCCTCAGCTCTCTCTGCCTCCATCCTTCTGTGTTGTTCTTCGATAGCCAGCATCACTGGGTTTTTTTCAGCCCTGCAGCTGACGGCACCACCCATTGTTTGACGATATCTGAGAGATTCGATATTGAGAAATTGGAGGATGTCCCTGACAGAGGTTACGTACCCTTTGAGACTGGATAGAGATCACCCGAACGAAGGGCTAAACTTGAGGATCTACGAACGAGTAAGTATAAATACAGGGTCGACTTCAAGTTGTCTTGAATACTTACAATGGAGCCTTAGTGGCACCAATTCAGGCGATAAGCAGGTAAACGAATACGCTAGCGGCACCGTTGGGGACCAAGCAGTGCAGACAGTGAACGAAACGAGGAACGGACGAAAAATCAACACCGTGAGAAGGTACCTATATATCACCGCCCCGAGAACCTTGCTGGCGGTTCCAATCCAGAATAACTTTCATCGGTGACAGGATAAGTGCTCGCACCGATCATAGAATTCATAGAATAGGCCACTCGTCACTATCGATGGCAATTAGGGCCGGAACGATGAAAATACGCAACTGGTTCTAGTCGCAAGCGTGTGAAGGTGCTAGACGCTAACAGGGGCGAAAGGCGAAGCAAACTTTCAGTTTCGTTGACATGGAGCGGTGAAAGGGTGAAGCACAATAAGAGTTTAATGGTTTCCGTTGCAATGGAGCAATAGTGTGAAGGTGTGCTGTGTGAAATGGCTTAAGCACTTTACGAGTTTCCGGGCCTTATGGACCTGGGAAAGATCAGCTTGCTACTGACGGCAGGCAGAGCCATTGAATTCTTTACCTCGAGTGATTAGACGCGATGGGAAATGTGTGAGTCAAACCAAAGGAAGCAAGAAGTGCCTGCACGTCCATCCGCTTCATCTAGCGGTTTTCACATGATTAGGGATGCCTTGTCCCCCTTCAATGTTCGACGGACCATAAGAGTTCAAATCTACCGAAACGGCACGATCGCTCTGATTGTGGGCGCAATGAAAGAAGCATGTCGTAACAATGTATATCCCAGAGATGCTCATACATAACCTCGATTCAGTCGTAAGAATAATACCAGGGTTTATCATAGAAATGTCCAGGGATAATTCAAAACGCTGATATCAATTCGAACTAGGAACAAAAACACGTTAGTAATGAAACATGCATGGGGCTAAAGGCTAAGCGCTATAGGCACCAAAAGAATGGTGCTGAAAGAAATTTTGTCCATAGATGACCATAGCAGGGAGAAATAGAGGGAACCCGACCTCGTTAGTTGGTAAAGAAACGGAAGATATCCATGCCAGTCTTTTTCATGAGGTCCGCCATCGTGCCATAGGACTTCTCAGATCGTCGCGAATATGCGTCCTGAAGGATGTCCCTTAACAACTCCAACTCGTTCAGCACGAGACTATCCTCGAGCTTCTCCTCTCGAACCACCATGGTCAACGTATCCCGGGAGACAGCATACATCCTCTGCGACCGGATAGGAGGATCATTCTTCATCAAATTCAGCCTGACGCACTCCTGCGTTTTCGTGATATACTCCTTGCGAGCGTCGTCGAGAATCTTGGCAGGGTCACTCTTAGCACCAGCTCCCCGCCTTTTCCTCTTGAGGAGATTCTCCATGTGGATGTCGGATTTGGAGCGAACAATATAGGTCGGGATTTTGTATCGTTCGCAGTTCTTCAAGATGGCGATGTCAGTGGCGGTGAAGCGGTCGTTGAACAGGATGATAATGGCGTCGAAAATGTAGAGCCCTTGGTCGTTAAAGTAGGTCCAATCGGGACATGCGAGCGTCCCCGAACCGGGGACATCGAACCAGATGAAAGGGTTGGCCGGGTTGGGGTCAGGATAAGCTGTAACGACGGCGGTACTCTCAACGATATCAGTCGCAGCGGCACCCGGTTCGTCGTCCCATATGCCTCGAAAGGCGTTGATGAGAGACGACTTTCCCGTTCCAGAATTTCCAGCTATGGCAAGATGGAATTTACCCTCCTTGTAAAAGCGTCGCTTAGTCGAATCGAACTGCTCGCGAGAAGGCCATTCGACCGGATGGATACCCTTCTTCCACTTGGCCTCCATCGCCTTCTGCTCCTCTAAAATCTTCTTCATTTCAGCCTCCTTCTTCTTCGCCTGCTCTTGCAACTCGGCAGCAGTCTGCGCCGCCTTCTGAGCTGTCTCCCGTTCTCTTCTGGCATTCTCCATCTGTTCTTGCTTCTCCTTCTCCAGTTGTTCTGCCATCTGCGCTGCCCTTTGGGCTTCCTCCTCCCGGGCTCTGATCACCTCGGCCTGGGCTTGCTTTTCTCTTTCCAGCTGCTCAGCGTGTTGGTCAGCTCTCTGTGCAGCCTCCTGCTGGATTCTGATCCTCTCCGCTTGCGCCTCCCTGTCTCGTTGAAGCTGCTCCGTACGTCGTTGAGCTTCGAGTTCCTCTGCCTCCGCTCTCCGGACCTGCTCGGCGATGGCAGCCATCGTTGGGTTTTCCTGGACTTTGCTACTCCGGATTGCGCGAAGGAGGGGGGGGGATGAGGGTTGCAGCGACGGCAGCGACCACGGATACGACGCCACCCATTACTAATAAATCTGAAGACTGAAAACATGAAGGTCAGCAATGAGGTCTCGGCTTCAGCGGTGTCAAATACCTTGTGGATAGATAGGAAAGGTCGCTCTGACGAAGACCTAAGCACGAATGCGACAGCCACAAAGATGAGAGTTAGGGAACTGAAATGGAAACGATGCAAAGAGGGCCTTCGAACGGAAGTCAGGCTTCTGCGGTGGTATTTGTACACGGCTAACAAACATTGTTGCTGCGTCTAGCTGGTAGCTTTCACTGATTTCCCACTCGTGAAGATGTGCTACCTAACCCTTCCGCTCGCACAGAACTTCTGGAGAGGCGCCCAAAATCAAGAGCCGAGCCGCAGTCGAAAGGCGCCCGCGTAGATCGGGGACGGTTCAAGTTTTTCATGTTTCAAGTGGTCGAAACTAAGATCAAGATGCTTTGAGAATCAATGAGCCACGACGTAGCGAAGAACTGTCGAGAAACTCACACCTCATGGGCAGGACCTAAGGTGATTGGGCATTGGAGAGATTCGAGAAGAAGCTGCGTCTGAATGATACTAGCCGCCTTAGATCAGTTTCACAAGACAGCGTCACCCCAAAATGGAGACACTCAACCGATTCCCAATTCATCTACGAGATCGGCTTCATGAGATCGAGCTTGATGTACTAATAATGGGACGGGAATGGAGGTTTGGAGGAGTGAAGATCATGATGTGACGGTGATACAGAAACAGTTCACTTTGAAAGCCCCCTGCACAACAACGGTGGTTTCGTCTTCGCACAAAAGTTAAACAGTATTGTCCTTCACACCATCACAGTAGAATAACGGAGATGTGAGTGATGAATGACTTGCTGCAGTGATAAGAAGGGAGACGGCGCTTTGGTGATGGAAAGCGAGGTTGGCAAGCTGTATGCGCAAAGGAGGTGGCTGTTTGTTGATCAGCGACGGTGCTAAATTTCACAGTGGAGTACTTGCTGGCATCTCCCGTATTACGCCAATACATTCCTTCGAGTGATTTGGTGATAATTCGACATGGTCATAGTCGCCATGAGCTGTTGGCTTCCCGCCTACATGCCCTCATAGCCGTATTGACCATGTCATAGTACCTCCCGTCATCACCAGGCCGATATTGAAACTCCACCACCTTAGGTGTGGCGGCCACATGTCCTATGGCCCCTTATCTGTCACCGTAAAAATGCACCGGCTGGTTCGTCAATTAACGCATTCAACTTTGACGTGCAACAACTGATCCCGAATAATTGTCGCCATAGACATCCTTCTCTTGAGATACAATCACTACAAGAACATTATTAAGGATTAAAAAAATCAGGTATACGGGAAAACTTACTCTATGAATCGCTATCGGCCAATCATTTATACCTGCGGTTGCCACTTTCGTCAAAAATCTACACGTTTGGCAACGAAAGTGTAAGACCATTAAACTGAAAAGATCAGCTAGTGTATTTCTTGCGTAAAGGCACTCACCCAATGCAAGACTTCAAGCCTCGGATAGCCCATCATACTGCTTCAAGCTTCAAGCTTCAATACTTGTGGCCCTGCCAGGTCCAGGACAGTCGAGAGCGGCAACGAATCTGCACGCGCTGACAAGTGTCCATGTTCTCCCTTGTTCTCTGCAAACCGTTTCCCCAGTCCTTTGATGCCACCTTCCTCGTCTGTTTTGTTCTACTCTTGGACCAACAGCGATGACGTTGTTTCACGCGCCAGTGCAAAAGTATTGTCCTTTTCATTGGTGTACCGACCTTGGCATGGCGTCGGGAGAGATGAAGCATAGCCAGGGGAGTCAGTGGTGGTTTAAGTTGGAGTGTTTTCTTACGCTCGATGCTCGGACGGCGAGAGGCCGAGACTCTCTGGTCATGTGATTGGTCGCGACTTACGTCAGACGTCTTTGAAATTGAAGGTTCGCAATCCGGAGTCACTCGAATGCGAATAAGTACAATCAAACCAGAGGCCACATATGGAGGATCATTACTATCTCTACTTAGAGTGACCATGTCGACTACTCTAAACTCTTAATCCTTAAAGGAACCCTAGAATCTAAATGTGCTTCGCCTTTCACAACAGGAACAACCGCCTGCGCGCCGGGAAACTGCTGTACTTCCACGCCCTCAGGCAAACTGAATTCAAAAATTTGGACGAGGTTCGCTAGAACCGCTTGCATCTCCATGACCCTAGGGCTGGCGTTTAGAAGTGGGTCTGACGACCATAGATGAACAAACGCACGCAAATCGCCACCTATATTTGAATGGAAAGGGTACGTCAGTGGATGATCATAACTTTCAAGTTGCTAATTACCAGATACACGAACGAGAGCCAGCACCTAAGTATAGCGTAAAGATTTGAGCCGATTAAATTGGGGAACGACTTACTGAACGTCATCCTAAGATCGCGAGTGACGACATTTATGGATCACAAACACAAATTCGTACTTACAAATTGGCATATACCCCCAACGACACAGGGACACTCTTGTTGAGGAAGCGGGCTGGATTCCATTCCTCCACGTCGTCGCCCCAGATAGACGGGAGGCTAAGAACAGTTGGTGATAAAACTATAGCGACGCGGGTTGGAGGCACCAGAAAGAACGTACCGGTTGTATAAGTACACGGAACAGAGGAGAGTTTGTCCTTTGGGTATTGCAACCGTTTTAGATCCCGAAAGAGGCAGAACGTCGTCATAAGGGGCAACACGCGTAGGTGTATGCGAGAACGGATGGAGGCGAAGACTTTCCTACGGTAAGAGAATCGTAAATTCACGAACGTCAGATTAGAATCTCGCACACCCACTTTGATTGCAGCATTCAAAAACGGCAGAGAGTCATAGTCATTATGATAAGAGTGCTTTACTTCCTCACGTATTATAGATTGATGCTCGGGATGTGCAGCAAGTTCATACAACAACCAGGATAGTGTCGTAGCTGTTGTCTCGTGTCCAGCAATTAAAAACGTTCTAAGGGACACATGGCTATGATCAGATGGGTACCACTTAAAATCGGAAGGAAAGGCGACGAACACAAACTGGGGCTCAATTTCATCGTCCCTCATTTGCCCTGTATGACGCGCTCTTGCTAAATCAAGAGCATTAACAACAGCTTCAAATATACAGAGCACTCCATGAACTCACTTAGAATATCAACAATATCCTTATCCGACTCAACCTGTACTCCGAGTTTAGCCTGGGCTGCCAAGATCTCCCGAGCAACCTTTCCCGCCGCTTCTCCCACGCTGGCTAACTGGCCAGCTCCTCGAGTCGAAACCAACTTCAAAATCGTCAAGACTGAATGTGGAAGCATCCGTATCAGGGCGATGACCATGAACTACAGTACTGATGGATTGGACTGCCACGAAGCCGTACTGTATTAGCACATCAGATGCACTCGCCATCAAGCTACGAATAGGCGTACTGTAAGTACCTCAAGGCTCCTTCCAATTCAGTTTCTCGACCGTCCAGCGATCCGAAATCGTATCGAAAAGCACCTATTGGATATCAGACCGGCTACTCAGAAAAACAGTTGATATCACTTGCTTAGACCGATTATATCAAGAGAAGCCTTGTTCATCCAATCGACAACATCGATCGGTTCGCTAGTACGAGTGCATCTTTTCATAGCGTTTACAACCTAGTAGTAAATCATCAGAATTTCCCCGCGGATGCTGATCGATACAAAAATAGGTTTACTTTATCGCTGCACTGCTGGAATATAACCTGAAATTTTCGCAGATTAGCAGGGGAGAATGCCGGGTTCAGGATCTTGCGCTGTCGGCGATGGTCGTCCTCTAAACAAGCAGGTTCTAGTCGTGATTATAAGTATAAGAAGGCATACAAAAACTCACTTTCGGCTACAACGAGCCCCCCAGGCCCTCCAAGGATTAAACTCATCATAAAGTTTGCGTCCCTAGTTTTAGGATAAGGATGCGATGAATGGAAGATGTGTTCGAGAGCCTTGGGGTCAGATACTACTAGGAGGTCTTGCTACGAGCCGCCATTGCTTTTAGTTGGTACACAACGAAAGATAAGAGCTCACACGAAGGCTGCCTTTGATACGGTAGATAGTGCCATACTCCCTACACCATTTCGTCTCGAGATCGCCGAATTTATCTTGACTGCGGAGGATGTACTCATGGCCTGGTGGGAAACGTTTAATCCGATGAAGCGAGATAGCATTTGCATCTTACCGAGCCAGAAATAGGCAGACGGTGGTCCCTTGACATGCTTGACAGAAACTCGTTTTAACCACCAGCCAAGCCAAGCCGCTACGAAGATAGAAGAGAATGTTATGAAGAAGGGGGACATTGGCGATTAAGACTCGAATCCCTAGTACTAGTTGAGGTGTTGACGGTCTAAACTATAAAGCGAGATTAATATCTCTGTCCACTGTTCACATGACAGTTGTCTGAGATTAATCTAGATTATTTAAATAATGAGGATCGGAAAAGCAGTCTTATTCACTGGGCCGTTTTCATGGTCCTTGGGGTGACGGAACTTGCGCCGTTCCCGCCATTCAAGGAAGACCTTTTGATTGTTGCGACGCCACAGCCGAAATAACAAGGTCAATGCCTTAAAGTACCATGACGTCTATATTAGACCCCGGGTAGATGTACGTATCGTGAGAAATGACGGATATTGAACCAAGCAGCCTGAGCTGACGAGGTGGCGCGCTCTGGATGGAATGTGACGCCGGCGAGCTTGATATCTGAATTTGGTCTAAAATCTTGGTAGCGTGTTTTCGCGGGGTAGGATAATCACAAAGACGGCAAAACGAAATGGGAAGACAAGAAGTGAGGCAGGATTTGTTCATTGCAAATGGAGTCAACTTACACCCGATGTATCTATAGTAGAGCATCTAGCTTTTTTATATGATTTCGTGGCCGTGTTCCAACGAAATGTTGGGGAATCATATAAAAAGTACAGAGCAAGAAAAGCCGAACCCTTCGCCGAATGTGCCGAACCGTATTATGTCAGCGTTAGGCGTGCTGGACACAGCACGAATTAGCTAAGGATAGCCTTTCCAGCGTGCTAGTACTAAGTAGCGAAGATACACCAGACCGGGGGATGTGGATCCAAATCGCTGACTCGAGAAGATGTAACTTCATATACCAGATGAAGTTCCGGCAGAGGAGATACAGAAGGCTCGGGCCTGGCCTCCGAAGGCTGGATATCCGTAACGCGTCACTCTCGACCAGCGTTTTTCAGTCCCATAGTCAGGACATCATCCCATACGATGGTCTCGTCTTCGGTTGGTTCATCGCCCGTTTCCCATCCAGGTCTGACAAGTCTTGAGATGACATACGCGTTCTCGGCATTTACAGCCATGACGCGCGCCAGGTGGAGACTGACTTCGGGCGAGAATGTTATCGGATTAAGTGCCAGAGCCTTCAACAGTGTCAACATAATCCTCTGAGTAAGAAATAAAGAGGAATCGCACCTTCCAAGCGACTATGCTTCCGACGTGGTTTTGGTCTGGCTGGTTTAGGATGGAATACGAATCGAAATTTGCCTCTGCTACCTCCCACAACTTATTGGCTTCTTCGTCGACGGCATCCTCTTCCTCGGCGACTTCCTCTTCCCCATAATCCAGAACCACCTCTTCAATAGCTTCCTTCTTCTCCTTCTTTCCCCACTTGTCTGCCTCGACATCGACACTCGTCACAAAAACATAAGCCGGTAAATTTTCCCGTTCTGATGGAGGTACGAGCCGCGGCATTTGGCCCTGGAAAACGATCTTAGACGTCGCAGGAAGGGTGAGCTTCCGCTTGAAGCCTTTTTTCTTGTTCTTGTTCCCGAGGGAGAACATCGATAGGCTAAGCTCGTTTTCCGTGGGCGTTTTTCGGCCTAGAGGAACTCCATTGGTCGATGAGAGATCTTTTGGCCTAGGTGCCGTCGGGGGAGTGGAGTTAGCAGCTTCTGCTTCGTATTTTTTCTTCAGTCGCCGACGTTGGTTACGACTCCGCGTTTGCTGTGTACCCAAGCCCGGTGGGACGTGATTTTGCTGTTTTACACTATAATTTTCTTTGAGGAAAATACTAGAATGAGGGCTGTGAGACTCACGGAGATGGGGGTGGTTTCTTCTTGACGGACACCACGGATGGCGAAGAATCGCTGGACGTGGAGTCGCTGGATGAGGAGTCGCTGGAGGAAGAGTCGGTAGACGAATCCGAGTCGGTAGAGTCTTCAGAATCAGAAGAAACAATGACAGGCTTGACCCTCTTCGCGTCTCGTGCCACTAGAAATGTTTTTAGCGCGTCATTCGAGTCCCATGGGAATACGTACGCACCTGGAGATTCAGTTTCTGCTTTCCTTTTCCTGCTGCTGCCATCCCGTCTTCCTTTGATAACAATCAAGTCCGCATCTCTCACTACGCCTGCAGTTGTGAGTTCATCCAGCAGTTCGAAACCATCGAGTTCCAAGGTCAACTCTGAGGGCTTGATTTTGGCGGCTTTGAGCACCTGGACGGTACTACATAGAGACGTCTTAAGACCGAGAATATTGGCATCGTCAGTCAATGGGAACCAAGCCTTTAGCTTGAGGAAGAGGCGCTTCGGTTTGTATCCGAAGGCGCATATATGCAGGTCGTGGTAAGAGGTTAGGTCCTAAAACGGGAAATGCCGATCTTCACTTCATTATTTCAACATAAATCTTCCTGTTTTACTATTTGCTCGGCCTGCAGAAAATATGCAGGTACAGGTGCCATGATAAAACTGTTGTAACATTGCTGCGAAAGTCACAAAAGGTTCCACTAATTTACGACGTAAAAAATTCATTTTACTATAAACCGTTATCAGCAAAGCATATCCACTACAAAACTTTACATTTGTACTTTATTCAAAAAACAGATAGCGGCGCAAAGCAATGATAGAAAGCCACCGGATATAAAATACATACAGATGCTAACTACCCACCCTTACAATGGGTGGGCCATTTAGATCGAGACATAGCACCTGAACATAATATATCAGAGACAGTGTCGGAAAAGAGAGAGAGGTGCCCACTTGAACCACTTCATTACGGCCTCTGTTCATCACCAACCGTGGATGCTGCATCCTTCACGGGTTTACGTCTCGCCCTCATCTCCTGCAATGCTCGTTCGATATCGGCTAGATGATCTTCGTCCTTGTCGTTCTCCTTCTGCATGTTCTCTATGTCGGCCTTGAGTTTGTCCCTCTCCACACAAATTTCATCCACCTTCAACTTCCAATTCTCATTATCCTTCTCCAACGCTTCCTTTTCCTTCTTCCAAGCCTCGCTGGCACCACGCCACGCCGCCCTCTCCTTCTCTCTCTCCATCTCCACTACTTCCTTCGCGCGTTCCGTTTTCTGCATAGTCTCTTCTTTGTCCTTCTCAAGCGCCTCCTGCAACAGCAACCAACCCTCTCTCTCAGACTTCAGCTTCTCTCTCATTTCTTCAAGCTCTCGGTCCTTCCTCTCCAGCTCACGATCCTTCCTCTCCACCTCCCGCTCCATACGCTCGATCAACTTGTCTTCTTTGTGGTATAGCGCTGGCTCATCAGCCGGCATCGGGGTATGATATCGGACATCTCGACCGTCTAGATCGATCCTGGATCGCTTTGACGGTGGTTCTGGGGATCGAAAAGCAGGAGCAAGGGAAGGAGCAGTAAATGTGCGGGGGAACGACGGAGCGGGCGTAGGTTGTCGAGATAGTGACTGGAAGGCGCCTGGGGCAAGGGACAAGCCGTTTGAAGTGAGCGTAACAGGAAGGTTGAACATCGGAGGGCCCATGCTTATACTTCTTTCATCATCATTGTCCTCATCGGAAGGGGGAATTGGATCAAGAGGAATAGCCGTGCGCTTTGATTTGAGCTTTGGAACATCGATATTGTTTTCGGCTTCTGTCGTACGTGGAAGACGAAGAGAGATTCGCTCTCTCTCCCGATGTTTGTGTGTGTCCTCTTGCTGAGATGAAGATGTGACCGGGGGGATACGTAGCATGTTCCGTTTCGTCGTTGCTCGGGAGTTCGGAGATGGTGTTGTCTTGACTTCATTAATGCGATTCTTTGCAGAGCGAAGACGTGATGTCAATGTCTCCGTTATGGACTGTTCTTCGGTCGCAGGAGTCTCGTCGTGGCTTCTTCGCGTTTGTTTACGTGACGAAATCGTGGCTGGCTCCGGTCTGCGGAAACCCACACACTCCCGGCCCAAGATGAGGCATTCCCTACATCCAGGAAGATCCGCATCCTGACTCGCAAATTCGCAACTAATCCCTTCAGATGAACATCCTTTGCACTATCCATCGAGGATGAGTATCAACAATAGAAAAGCAGGCAAGAAAGCTTTACCCGCATTTCGTTGTAGGTAGGGTTAATATCCCAGCCAGAGACATCGGCGTTGATGACAGTCGTTCTAATGAGTGGCCGCTCCTCCCTCGCCCGAATGTTGATGTGCACCATTCCTGCTAAGATGTGCGCCCATTTCTCTCTATCGTGCTTTTTGCAGACATCGGCAACATCTTCCTGTTGCCTCCGAGTCATTTGTGTATATGCATCGAACATCTCCTTGATCCACTGATCTTTCTTACTGGGCTCACAGCCTGAATTGTAGATTTTCAAAAACTATCATAGAATGTGTCAACAAAGCTCCGATTATCAGGAAATGACGCACTTTCGTCTGAGCAACTGATATTCTGCCTGGTCTATAACCAGACAACGATATCTGCTGAAGATGAACTGGTCGCTTTGTCTGCGGATGGGTCTCCGGTTCCAGTATCTGTTTCGACTTCATCATTTGCTATTTCATCCTCGTCTTCGTCCTCGATGTGATCGTCCCGGGGCAGTTGACACGACGCCCCTTCAAGACGACACTCCCTGCAGCTCCGAGTCGTTTTCAGATTCCCATATTCGCATACAACACCTTGCGCAACACAATTATTGCACTGTCAACTAGTCAACATCCCTATAACCTAAACAGTAAGGAACAAAATCTCACAGGTGTATACACCGCGGTTGGAACAAGGTCCCAATGTTTGATTTTCACATTGCGTACTTTATTCTTGACTAGATGTCGATTGGGCGTCTTGCGGATGCTCAGAAATACCATCCCACACCATGTGTCGACCCATTTGGGTTCCTTTGAATAATTTTGGACCAACTCCGCTTGCCGCTCAGGCGTCATTCCGAGATAAAGGTTCCGTAGCTTGGTGTGCCACTCATCTCGATCTTCACCGGGCCCGGCTTCGTACAGAGAGATAAACTATCGCAACATTATAACATGATTCCAAGTGAGGAGCAAAGGAAACGCACCTGTTCCACGAACGATGCTCGCTGATAAAGAGCACGTAAGGAACGCGTTCCGTTTAATTTAGAGACGCAACGGACCTTGTTCTGCCTAAGCTGACGCGTACTAGCAGGAGATTCAGGCGTAAGAAGAGTCTCCGCTGGTGCACTCCTCTGGATGTCGTTGTCTGGTGTAGTACCTTTATCCACGAGTGGCGCATCGAAAACGCTCTTCCCAACTGACGACGCGCCGACATGGTTCGGCACATTTCGGTGAGGGATCTGAATTTTCGTCGTACCCTTGTACTTCTTGAAAGAAACTAGATGGTCTGCCCACGTTGTGCCAGTGAGCGCGGCCATTGGAGACCTAGGAGAGAGAGCAATGAGAGTTGAAATGAGGAAATGATGAATGCCAGGATGGGAAAAAGTTCAACTTCCGGCTAAAATTGTATTTGCCGGTATGGTCATAATCTTATCTTATTTGGTCAATTATTTAAATGCCGAACTTTTTGCCAGCCTGTAAGTAACCCGGTCTAATACGATTCTCTCCTTTCCTTAGATACAAGACAGTGAGTTCAGCATCCGCAAATTTTTCTACTTACTAATCTACGTATGCATTAGAGTGAAATACAGTCCCATTTATCGCGTCCTCCAGGGTCGTCTTTTATTGATGTAAAACTTTAACTCTCAATGGGACCTGGGCACCCAAATGGGCTTTGCCTTTTACAACAGGCACAACCGCCGGCGATCCGGGGAACTGTTGCATTTCCACACCTCCCTCTGGCAAGAAAAACTCGAAATTCTGAATCAGTCTTGCTAAAATCGTCTGTAGCTCCATAATCCTGAGATTCGACAATTAGAATTAGACTTGGGATTTAGGGAAGAAGCACATACGCAAACCGCCAACTTCAAAGAAGAAGGGTTTTCAGTATAAGACAAAGAATAATGAAGGATACTTACCCGATGCATGACCGAGGCCCAGCGCCTGAGGGTCGCATATTGAGCATACAGAATGACAAACTGAAAAAAATTACTCACCGAAGGTCATTCTAAAGTGGCGCAGTGTTGGTCGTGAAATTGCGCTAGAGAAAAATAAAGGTCAAACTCACAAATTAGAGTAAACTCCTAGCGAAACGGGAAGATCTTTCTTAAGAAACCGAGTAGGATTCCATTCCTCTGCATCGTCACCCCAGAGCGATGGTAGGCTGAAATGAGAGTGGTTTACGATCAAGTTGTAGGTCAGTGATACAGGATGGCAATAAATACCGATTGTACGAATACATCGAACAAGCAAAGGTCTGCCCTTTGGGTACGGCAAGTGTCTTCCCTCCAGAAAGAGGGAGAACGTCATCGCAAGGAGCAGTTCGTGTGAGGGAATGCACGATGGGGTGAAGACGGAGAACTTCCTGTTAGGAGCAATCAGCATCTGAATTTGGGACATCTTGAACCTTGCTCACTTTGATCGCTGCGCCCATGAACGGCATCGAGTCGTAGTCCTTATATTGTTTTAACTCTTCGCGTATGATAGATTGGTGGTCGGGATGTGCGGCAAGTTCGTATAGCAACCAGGCTACGGTCGTACCTGTCGTTTCATGACCAGCAAGCACGAATGTTCTGAATAAAATCAGGAGTCACGGTTATGATCAATTGAACAGAGCAATTAGATTGCCACACGAACACTAGCTGCGACTCGATTTCATCTTCATTCATTTTGCCTGTAAGGCGCGCCCTCGCTATAGGCACCAGAATGTGAGTATGTGAGTTACAAGAGAGATTTATTGATATAGACTCACCTAGGAGATCGACAACATCTTTATCGTCGCCCTGTTCTTGTACTTCGTACTGACTGACCATAATCTCCCGGGCAGTTCTTCTTGACACTTCTCCTAGCCTGGCGAACTGACGAGTTTCCCGAGTTGAGAACAGTCGCAGGAGGTTCAACACTGAATCCGGAAGAATTCTAATCAGAGCCACAAGCATGAACTCGAATGCTGTCGTATTAGATTGTGAAGTCGTGCTAGATTTCAAGGTTAGAATATGAACGTTATCGGTCGTCCTGAAAACGGAATACACACAATAGATGCTTCAGAGCTTGCCCTAACTCTGTGTTACGACCTTCGAGTGAACCGAAGTCGTATCGAAAGGCGGCTGTTAAGTCACGATCAAACAAACTATATGAGAGAAGATGGGTAGTGCTGACTTAGACCGATGATATCCAGAGTGACTTTGCTTGTCCAATCCATAATGTTGACGGTTTCGTTAGTCTCAGTCAAGGATCCCTTCAAAGCGTCCACAAGCTACAATCTTCCGTCAGTTTTCACTGTCTATCTCCGTTGATGCGAGAGTCAATCTACCTTGTCGCTGCACTGCCGGAATACTAGCTGCGAATTCCGCAGCTGAGCAGGAGAAAATGCAGGATTTAAAATTTTGCGCTGGCGATGGTGACTTTCAGCTGAGCGGAAATGTCAAAACCCGAGTGAACAGACTCATATGAGTGCGTACCGTCAACGACGATAAGCCCTCCTCCGAGGATAAGACCAAGGATGAAGTTGAAATCCTTCGATTTTGGGTACGGGCGTGAAATGTGGAAGATGTGATCGAGAGCCTTAGGATCAGATACCACCAAGATGTCTTGCTACATATCCTTTTAGTTATAAGGAAGGGCAAGGCGCGAGGAGTTAACTTACTCCAAAACAGCCCCCGACACGATATACGCTTCCATATTCCTTGCACCATTTCATTTCGAGTTCTCCGAAGTTCTCTTGATTGCGAAGAAGTCGTTCATGACCTGATACGTGCAACTCTTCATGAATGTAGGTTCAAGGGAAGAATGTCTGCCATCTTACCTAGCCAGAAGGATACGGGTGGAGGTCCTTTGACGTGTTTGACTGAAGGCCGTTTCAGCCACGAGCGAAGCAAATAGGCTAGGAGGACTGCAGCGACTGAGGCCAGGATAGGAGACATCGGAAGATAAAGGGTTGTGCTCTGTTAGTCGACGGTAAACCTACGTTCTTAAGAAAGCATTGCTGCGGCCCGAATGTCGAACACGCGCTGCTCCCGTTGATATTTCCATGGGCCAGGCCATAGTGTCTTTTCCTTTAACACAACAAAAACGTCCGGGTGGGAGGTGAGCCGAGTAGTATCTGTAGTCCAGACTGAGAAGTCTGTTCTGCCCTCCGTGGCAACTTTAGCCGCAGAATTTCCTTTATGCCAACTCTATGCCTCCTGAAACTGAAGCTGGAAGGGGAAGCCGCCTCGAAGAATACATTTCAGTCCTTTAGTCAGAGGCCTGTAAGATCATGTTGGTGAGAAATTAGTACAGTAGCTCGTTCTCCCAGTTTGAGTCGGATTGACCGACAAAAATAGAATGAAGGATCTTGAGGCCACCCAGTTCGTCGGGTTAACAACGAGGTGGAAGAGAGAAAATGGCGAGGCGTGAAAAGGCCCCGGGTCATGTAATTGCGATGACGGTGTTGCATTATCGGACCGATTCACAGGGCCTTAGCGACATCATGACTCAGACGCATTATGTCCATAACGTGAAAGGGGGATCCAGGGAAACTGCGCCTGAGGCTCTGAGCTCGCAAGATCATGCACAGTCTTGTCTAAACCAAAGTTAGTACCAATACGACATCATATCTGCATCCTTGAAAGCAAGTCTTGCTCTCCTGCAATGCCTTAATTTCGTAAGGCTTTTAGATTGTCGATGACAGAATACACAAATCGATAAATCTTGGTCCTGGCAGCCTGCGGAGTCACTAATGTAAAACCCTCACCCTTAAGGGCACTTGAGTGCCTAAACGTGCTTCGCCCTTCACGATGGGTACAACCCCTGGTGACCCAGGAAAGTGTAGGACCTCGACCCCTCCCTCGGGCAAACTGAATTCGAAGTGTAGAATCAGGTTGGCTAGGATTGTTTGCATTTCCATGACCCTGCGTTTCGCTGGTCAATTTCATTGAAGCGGAATTGACAAGACGAGGAACGTACGCGAATCGCCACCTATGAGAAAGGAAAAGGATCAGCAAGGGAACGAGATGGATCATAGCAGCAGTTAGCTACCCGATGCATGAGCGAGATCCAGCGCCTGAGGGTCGCGTTAGTCGGAGAAAAGACACTCTGAAAGGTAACTCACTAAATGTCATCCTAGCATTCCGTCAAGCAGGTGCTGAAGGTGCGCACAGGGCCAAGATCATAAAACTCACAGATTAGCATACACACCCAGTGATACAGGCAGAGTCTGTTCAAAAAACCGAGCTGGATTCCACTCTTCTGCGTCGTCTCCCCAGAGAGACGGAAGACTAGAAAAAGCTCGGGTCAATTTGATATTGGATTGACAGAGGAAGATCATACCGATTGTATAGGTAAACAGAACAAACTAGTGTCTGCCCCTTGGGTATGGCAAGCGTCTTCCCTCCGGAGAGAGGTAGAACGTCGTCATGAGGAGCGGTACGTATCAAGGAATGCGCAATTGGGTGTAGACGGAGAGCCTCCTGCCATTAGAGGATGAACATGGGTATCCGATTTAGCTACTAAGCATGCTCACTTTGATAGCCGCGTTCAAAAATGACATAGAGTCGTAGTCGTTTGATTGTCTGAGCTCTGCACGAATTATGGATTGATGCTCAGGATGTGCAGCGAGTTCGTATAGCAACCAAGCTATACTAGTACTCGACGTCTCGTGCCCGGCAACGACGAAGGTCCTAAGAAGGAGAGTAAAAATGACATCATAAAGAGCGAGTAAAGAAACAACAGACATTAACTGCGCTTCTATTTCATCATCCTGCATTTTGCCTGCTAAGCGCGCTCTCGCTAGAGATACGACCATGTTTTTAGCTGTATTTCAATGGAACCAGTAAACCGACCTAAGACATCAACAACATCTCCATCGCCTTCTGGCGCCTGCGCTTCATCATGGCCAGCTATAACTTCCCGGGCAGTTTTCTTAGCCACAGTTCCCACGCTAGTGAGCAGACGAATCTCTCGGGTGGGAATCAACCTTAGTAATCCTAGTGTCGAATGTGGAAGCATTCGCATCAGAGTCACAAGAATAAGCTCGAATGCCGTTGGATTGGATTGCGAGGCCGTGCTGAAATTGGATATTAGGTACGGTGGACATTGAAGTAAAGGAGAGATTCTTCTTACAAGAGATGTCTCATCACTTGCCCTAACTCGGTATTCCGACCGTCGAGCGAACCAAAATCGTACCGAAATGAGGCTTTTGGATATCAGACTCATCACTGACAAAAAATGACAGATGCTACTTGCCTAGCCCAATAATATCCAGGGCAACTTTGCTTGTCCACTGAAGAATATTGATAGCTTCATTCGTACCGCTGGCAGTCAGAGATTCTTTCATGCTATTCACGAGCTGTAATCGCCAGAAGTTCTCAACTATTATCACGCTGTTTGATGGATGGATGGACCTACTTTGTCACAACAATGCTGGAAGATGGCCTGCGCTTTCCGAAACTGTGCAGGGGAGAATGCCGGATTTAGAATCTTGCGTTGGCGGTGGTGCGTTTCCTCTAGATACACGGGATATAGTGTTGCGCTCGAGTTGGACCGGAAGAATATTCACCGTCAACACTGGAAAGGCCTTTACCAACAATGAGATCCAGGATGAAGATGACGTCCTGTGATTTGAGATAAGGATGTGACGAACGAAAGACGTGCTCGAGGGTCTTGGGGTCACACACTACTAGGACGTCTTGCTGCCAATATTGCTTCAATTGTGACCAAGGCAGAGACAAAGAAAAATTTCACCCCAAAACAGCCCCCAGTACGATAAAGGGTACCATATTCCCTGCGCCATTTTGTTTCGAGGTCGCCTGCATTATTCTGATCGCGAAGGACACGTTCGTGGCCTGGCAGGATGGTGTGTAAGTCCATTTTCGTATTGAGATACGTGTATACTGGCTCACCAAGCCAGAAAGAGGGTGATGATGGTCCCTTGACGTGCTTGACTGACGGTCGCTTAAACCATCGATGAAGCAGATAGACGAGGAACGATGCGATTACAATGAATGGTGCGCCCATGGGAGAAAAGATCCCGGGTTCCTAGAGTCTATGGTAAATTTCCGGCGTTTATTCCTGCTACGTTAGTAGTAGGTCTTATAGAGGGATGGTGGTAGCCGAGTTTTGAGTTTAACCCGAAGTCCGATGTCATAAAAATTTCTATTTGTAGAAGAAATTCACGGCCCAACGCTTCAAAATTTCCGTTTAAGTCAGAGTTTCGGGGTGGCACAGTCACCGCTTGTCACTGTTTACATGTGACCCTCTGTTACTATCACGCTTTCTGCGGCGTTGTTCGGCCGATCTTGCCAAGGATTCTGACTCTGAGAGAAAATGCGAGCTGGTGGCGGCAGAATGCCGCCACCGAGCGAGTCTTTTTCTCTCAGCAGCAGAAGCCACCACCGCTGAGTGAATCATTTCAAGGGGTAGTACTCTCTCATTCATACTACTATTTTTTGAATGCTAACTATTATTGATTATGACCTCGTTTTTTTTCCGCAAGCCAAGATTTGAATAACCCTTGGGCCTTGATTCAATCTCTCCTGCAGGAATTATAGCCAGCAAACCTCGCAGGATCAATCAATTATACATAAGTTTGGTTTATTATAAACTATCATAATTATATAAAAAACGAGGTTTCAAGGGGGGTCAACGTAGCAGGCTTTGCCCCTGATGTGGGCCTTGCAGGCGTTATGATGCGATGGTACTGACCAAGTGTTCAGTCGGCAAAGTGTTCATACAGGGTCCACTTGCTATATTTAGGCTGAAACCGGCCGCGTAGTGGCGAAAAAACCCCATATTTGGCATGCACCAGCAAGTCGGAGACCCCGTGTTATACCTGTCCAAAAGTGTTCAGTTCACGGACCACCGTTACGCGTTACTGAACACTTGGTCGTAATTATACAGTAATCCGATCATCGAATGCGGGCTCGGCAAGCAGTGAGAGCTTTCAGGGTGCACATTCGCACGGATAACGACTCGGAAGATCCGCCGAATAGCAACCGTCTCTCCCGAGAGGAAGACTTTATTGGAGCTCTACTGTAATAACGATGGAAGAGAAACGGTTGTCCGAAGTCTGCTCTCTTGGAAGATGTACGCCAGCGATTCGTCGTGTCAAAGCCTCACCAGAGATCTGTATTGATCATGTGGTCAGTAAGAAGTCCGGTCACAATTATTACTTGACATCACCGATCGTTCTTTGTTTACACGTTCTCAGCTAACTGGATGTGAGGCACTCCCGCAACATTGCCCACGTCCTTGTGTCTGCTTGAATATATATATTCCAGCTAATTCCAACTTCTCCATTGGCTATACGTCTCCGCGTGGACATATTCGAAGAAATACATACAAGGATGTTTCTGAGGAAACCTTCTTGCTCACAAGACATATGATAATGAACGCATGCCACCAACAAATGCAGTTAGCACCCATGATTCTCCCCGAGCTTCGCGGAAAGATTTGATGAATGTGTATGACCTTCTTCACGGAAGAGCATTCTAAAGGAATGAACGTCAAATCGATTGGCAGAGATGCGGGTACCTTTCACCTTCTCCTCGCTTTGCGGATCTTTGTTCTTTTACGTCTGGTATGTCCTCTAGGATTTCGGCGCCGCAATATTTTTGATGAGGATAGGAATGCTGGACACTACGTTCGTTCGTTTAGCTATCAGGACATGTTTTAAACACGGGTGAGCTAGGACAAACACTAGCATTATGAGGCCCTTCCAAGCTATTGGCCGACAGTAACTTAGACTTCTTGATACCTGCCGCAGCGCACCCTACTTCGAATTAAATGTCCAATTGTCGTAACGCGAAGCGTAACATCGCCAGAATCAGAGTCCTACACCCGGGTCTCATATTGATATCCCTCGGATGGGACAATCATTCCGCTCACGAATTCGCCAAAGTTCACCTACGAGAGAGATCCCTCGTACACTTAGAGCGCAGAAATTCCAACACAGAACAGAAAGAGCGGGCAATTCCGAGTCCTATGAATATAGGTTTCTTCGGTCTTTATACCATCCTGGGATCCGATTTTTGATCGTCCAACACGGCGTTTGCCGCCGCATTCTACCTGACCTCTTCGTGGGAATTTTTCGTATCGTCCATCATTTTCCTGTGACTTTGCTTCCTTTTTGGAATCCAGTCTTTTACATTCTCTCCGACTTATGATACTATGGGTTCACGATGGGTGATTTTGTGTTTTTTGGCACTTTCTACAGAGCAGTTTTAATGGTTCGCAGAATAAAAACCCTATTGCTTGAGTGATGCACGTAAATTGAGAGATATGTTGAATTTGTCTTTACATATTGTGTCATTTTCAACGTCCTCTCTGCCGTCCTTCAGCTAATTGCAGCGGGAGCTCGTTTTCTCGTTGGCAAGTGGTGGCCGGCAATGTTGGACTTATAATTTGACTTTGACACATGCTATGATGCAATGTGGCATATAGCGATTTTTTTGACACTTGCACCTCGGCCACCTTCCGATGCTTGGTCTACTCAACGGAATCCCCAAGGATATTTCTCTTAGCGTTGGATGATTTTTTTGGACATACATTTGATTTTTTTTTTTTTTTTTTTTTTTTTTTAAATTAATTATTTATTTTATTTATTTTTTTACGAAACGGAGCACAGGCTAAAGCTACGGAAAATTTTTATCGAAAATAAGGAATCAAACTCCACACACGATCAACAAGTATTTGACGTCGACCCAGCAATATCCTTCTAGGATAATATGCAGAGAATGCGAAGGTCCCATGTTGGAGTTTCAAGTGTCGTGCATCACAGCGCAGTTGACGTCGGGATCATCGGTTGTCAGGGTTAGTCAGGCAAGAACTCGTTTATTACATCCTGTTGCTTCTATTAGTGTACACGGCGAGTAGATAAATAGGTAGTCGAATGAAGACAACCCTCGCCTGTTTGCGAGGGTTCCCTGCTATATCCGGGTGAGCGGCTGGAGAATTACCGCTTATCTCAACACAAACAGGCAGCATAACCCACAGTCCTTGTCGCTCTCGTTCTCTGTGCTGACTCTCGAGACTATCGCTACATCGCCACCCCGACACTGGTGTCGAGATCACCTTTGTCACTTGCTAGACCACGAGACGGTCTGGTCGTTCGCTTTGCTGGTCCACGAGACGGTCCGGCTGTTCGCTTTTCTGGTCCACGAGACGGTCCAGTTGTTCGTTTTTTGCTCTCCACATTCGTTGTTTGCCGCGTCGAGATCGCCTATAGAGCAAAATGTCGGACGAGTTGTTTGGTGCGCGTTTTCCCAAGTTATCGGTCGGAAACTTTGCGGAATGGCGAGTGATGATGGAAGCCGAGCTCACACGTCGGAAGCTCTGGACTGACATTGTCGAGATTGAGGTTGATGGGGATGGGAAGTCGGAGTCGGAGGTCTTGGCAGAGGTCACGGCGAAGTTGAAGGCGCGGGATAAGCAGAAGATGGCGGAGGCGAGGGCTGAGATGATTTTGAGGGTGGATGTCGGGCAGCTGGCGCACATGGACTCGAAGGACCCACGGGAGATCTGGGGGAACTTGCAGACTGTGCATCGTGCACAGGGCTTTGCAACGAGCTTGTCCTTGCGAAGGAAGTTCTTGACGGCGAAGATGCTTGAGGGCCAGGGTATGGAGGCTTGGGTTGGGAAGATCAGGCGAATGGCGAAGGCGATGGAACTAGCCAGTATCGACGTCAGCGACCAAGACTTAATCCTCGCGCTCACCATGGGACTCCCCCCTTCCTACGAAAACATCATTATCAACTTTGACGCGACCCCGCCCGACCAGCTCACACTCTCGAACGTGATTATTCGCTTGCTGAACGAAGAAACGCGCCAAGCGTCGCTTGCTCCTGAACGTTCGGAGAAGGATAAGGATGGGACAGGCGATGATGATGATGTTGCGGCTGTCGCCTTTCGCGATGGCAAGGCATCCAGGGGCCTGAAGGGAAATAGTCAAGTCGAGCTCACTTGCTTTTTCTGCGATAAGCCCGGGCATTTGAAGGCGGATTGTGAGGAGAGGGCAAAGTGGCGGAAGTCGAAAAAGGGGAAGACGGCGGCGGCGGATTTTGCCGTGTTGGCTTATGAGAGTGACTCCGATGTCGCTTTCTAGGCTATATTTTCCCACCACGGTGTTCACCTTCCGGGGGTGTACATTGTATGTTTTCTCCTCTTATTTTATCTTTTCTTTTCTTGGGATTGATGCGCGAACTTGCGGGGGTGTGTTGGAGTTTCAAGTGTCGTGCATCACAGCGCAGTTGACGTCGGGATCATCGGTTGTCAGGGTTAGTCAGGCAAGAACTCGTTTATTACATCCTGTTGCTTCTATTAGTGTACACGGCGAGTAGATAAATAGGTAGTCGAATGAAGACAACCCTCGCCTGTTTGCGAGGGTTCCCTGCTATATCCGGGTGAGCGGCTGGAGAATTACCGCTTATCTCAACATCCCACCCATAAAACAGAGCAGTACAACTCGTGTTCCGAACTTCTTCCAGTTTACATTGAAGGTATAGATACCGAGCCAGACCAGACATTCTCGATGCAAGTAGCAGGCAAATCTGCTGGGTACCGCTTGACAGGGGTGATATACTATGGTACAGCACACTTTACAGCTAGATATGTGGACAGAACAGGGACCGTGCGGTTCAATGACGGATACATCAACGGTAGAACTTCTAATAAAGAAGGCGATATGACAGACTTGGATATGAAAATGTCTACTGATGGGAGAAAACCTGTACTGGCTGTATACAGGCAGACTTGAGCACAGGGTATTACACATCCGATAAGTTATGATGGATCAAGAAGGGTGCAGGTAAGGAAAATATTCTAACTATGGACCTTGTCTCTCTTCTGATATCATGTAACATATTACAGATAAATAGAGCGGACGGAGAGCATAGGACTCGGATCCTGCCACTCGGATGTGATGGCCATCAAATGCTAGTTAGTCGAAGAATACGAATACTACCGCAATTGTGCCTCTTCAACGGTTTTGCAGGATTGTCTCATTGCGTGCAAGAGCCAGTGATGGCACGTACTGGTCTGTTTGTAGGTCGCTTGTGCCGGTCAGTGCTTGAAGGAGGAGGATGAAGAGACGTTGCCTCGGTCATGGTGGTGAGTAATAAAGCCATTGTTCATTCAATCAAATTGTTGACAATGTTGATCTCCGACCACCATCACGTTTCCCGCCGCCGAATCAATACCGTTCGAATTGCCATCCAAGACATCGAGCGCTCAGATCTTGACAAACATAAAAAGATTCATTGACTTGGACGGTCGCGAAAGGGCATAAAGGTACGGCAAGGATATGTATCGTTACTTTGCTTCAGGCTTGCCTAAATTTTGCCTCAAAGGAGTCTTAGTCTCAGGCTCAGTCGGGGTTCACCTATCCATACCAACGTCCTAGCAGATCCAAATGACAATAACGATAACGAAGTCAATGTCATGACATGCTTCTAGGGCGTCGAAAATGGACAGGTCCACCGTCGCCGTCCATGGCCTGGTTGAAAAATGAAACCACTCCACCCTCTTCTGTCTTCCAACAAGTCGCTATACATTCAAAGGGACCGGTAACTATGCTGTTGCATTGGGATGAAGCACTGAAAATGGTGAACACGAGGTACGTGACACGCATATACGCAGCCAGACTTCCCTCCTCATTCGTACCTTTGCATTTCAGCGATTGTATTGCGTTGCGTGGACCCACGATGAAGGTAAGGCCCAGGACAAAAATTCGCCTCGCTCGTTCAGTTTTTCCTCGTCCGTTTAGCCGGAAACACTAGCTCGATGCCTCTCTCACTCCAACTTGTCATGCACACGGTCCTGGAAAGAAAGAAGTCAACCTTACCTCCACGAACGGAATAGATCCTGGTAGACGTCGTCATGATGGCCATTCTTTGAAGGTCGACATTCTCGCTACCGACAACGTTACGGGGATACTTTGGAAGCCAGGCTTTCTCCTAAACTTGTGCAATTGGATGGTTAGATGTCGGGTGCGGGAGGCTTTCGGAAAATACGAATATAAAATATATGCGAGTGGTAATTGTGTCCACCGCTGATCACCCAAGAAGAAGACAGGAATGAAGGATACAGATGGGAATGCAGCGGGCAAAGCGACGGTTAAGGAGCTAGATAATAAAGAGGTACAGGTGGCCGTGACCACGAATGCGCCTGTCTCTTCGCATTGCTCTGCGAATCCATGGAAGGACGCGATAAGCGAGGTACGTCTCCTCCTTTTCGTATGTTCCGAGTCACTGATTGGCCTCAAATACGTGCAGATGTTCCTATTCTTCATAATTATCGCGTGCTGTTGGAAACAATACGTACCAATTTTTTGCATACAGGGTCAACGCTGCATATTGATCTGGACAATCGACACCAAAAAGTTATTGGGTCGATGGCGTAGTTGGTTATCGCATCTGTCTAACACACAGAAGGTCCTCAGTTCGAGCCTGGGTCAACTCACTTTTTATCCTCATTATCAGGATTCAGCCACAAATGACAAGAATCAATTTAAGAAATGCATTCAATCAATGTCGTAGCCAGTGGCCACTGACTTGAGGTTGAAGTCTTTTGGCTGACCTTCCCGGCCCGGGCCTCTGTAACGTGGAGAGGGTCCCTCGTGCTGTCCGAGTCCACAAGTTATCTTTCCGGCAAGTACCAAATATTCGCTTGAAGCCGCCCAGTCAGCTTATTTACATGGCAGTGGCTACGTTCAAGACGAATGAATCACTATTTCCTCATGTTTGCAGACGCTGGGCAGTAGCTGTAACTGTTGTCTCAATACCGATGTTTCCAGCAGAAATCGTTGACAGGTCCTGCTCGACATCCTTTGACAGTATTTACGACTTCGAGGTTCGAGCTAAGCGCGTCTTGACAAGTATATTAATGTGGGAAACATAGATGGGATACAAGTGTCTGTATTACACAGAAGTGCATATTCGTGCAAACTAATAAACGTCAGGGAGAAAGAACGAGTTGTTATAATTGCCGACGTTGCTTCTGACCCTGAGTTCAACTCGCCGTTTTGCAGAAACGCTTTCGTCGGTCACATGAATGTATGTAAGGTTACTCTTGGTTCTTTTCGTGTTCGACCTTCGATGAGGTTATCATTATGTATGTCTGCAAGTGGCAAAATTAGGCAACCCACCTGAGCTTCCTTTCTCACTTTTCTCTTTGTGTGACAATTAATCCCCCAGCACGCATAGTCATCCATCTTGCTGAGAGCTCCTCGTCGTCAAACTCTAGGGTTTCGGGGCCAAGTACCACTTGCTCCAACAACGCACATTGTCCACTGTCCGATGGATCAACATCTGTCCTCCTCCGAGACTCGACTACATTTACGAGGCATCTCAAATCTCCCGCTGAGATACGACCGCGTGGCATACTTAACAAGCGGAGACGCGGAGCTACTGAATCTTGCCCCGAGGTGTATACCAGACCATTGAACCATTGATCTGGTAATTCCGCCTTTTGGGTCAGGATGTATAGCCTCTCTAGTTTAGAAGTCCCGCGTAAAAACTTGCGAAGTTCGTCGCCTATCTGAATACATGCTTCCGGCGATGGATAATAGAGGGCAATCACAAGCACTTCAATGGGACATGATTCAGGGTTGATAACAACTGGAAAGGAGGTCTGCTTCGATCCGTAAAAGGATATCTTTAACAGTCGGAGAGATGGAAGGCTGAGGCGAGAATACATATCGGCGCTGGACATGCCGTTAGAGCAAGGTGTGTGTAACATATGAAGGAAGGTCACATTATGTAAAAGAATTGGTTCTATGGGCTCACCAACTGAAGAGAGTGAGCTCCCGGATGTGCGGGAGTTGTTTGAGAGATTCATATACATGCATTGGGGCCTCCAGATATAAAACTCGTGATTCCTGAGGAAGGAACGGAAAAGCGCGTGAAAGCAGAGTCATATATAAAGGTACCAAGGACCTTTAGACTTGGAGCAAGTTGGAAGGCGTCAATATTGAGGGAATCGATTTCAGGTCTTCCACTGCCTATGTACAGAGTATCTAGGCGATTGAGATAGCCCTTGCACACAGAAAAGTGTAGAAATGAAGAAAAAGGAAGCAAGACTGATAGTCGCCTCCAATACGGAGCGGTGGGGAACAGCATTTGCAGGATCGGAGAGACGTCTGCAACGCTATTCTTACCGTAAACACGAATGGAGAGATCGTGACCGTGGGCTCGGAACAGTGATAAGCCAAGTCGGAACACGCGGTTCTTGGCCATCTCTGAGTCTTTGTTTTTATGTCTTTGATCGAGATTGAGTTCGATGAACGACCATAAATCTGCAGTGTGAATGGCGACAGTTCTCCACTGTTGACAGACGCAAGAAACAGTCCACGGCGGTTGGCTTGGTTGGACTGATTCGATATCTACGGCGGGCCATAAAACGACAAGCTCCCCATTGAACGCCTCATCTGGCGACTTGGTACAATCCCGAAAGACCGTACGTAACACATCATCCGGCAACCTGCGTACAGCTTGTAAAGAGATTTGGCGTCGGAGATATTGGACGCAGCCTGGTCCCTTTCAGAAACCAGAAAATCCAACAAATGCCGTGTCGCAGAAATTTTCTCGTCAAACTCGTCAAGAGTTTGAGGGCCTCTAGCAAGAGTTTCGAGCAATTCCTGCTTTTCAAATTCCGACGGAGGCTTGTTAGAAAGAAGAAGCTCTTCAATCCTGGATGATCTCTTGGGCTGCAAGGATTCGGGTATGAAGAAAGAGAAATAGGGATGGAATTGTGATTTGTCCGTTTGCGTTAATGTCATCTTAATCAGGAGTTAGTGCATTTGTCGAACAAAGAAAATCATCCATGAATGACCTTGTAATAGGGTAACGCAGGGAAGTAAGTATCAGATTCAAATCGTAAGTCCGACGCGTTCGACGTTGAAGTTGAAGTTAGGACCTGCGAGCCTGCAGCCTGCCACGCTGAAGCCATGCTTGCAACCACGTGCTGGCAAAAAGTCCGGGCCGAACGGTTTTCCGAAATCTACGTCCAGTTGAAGCATTGCATAGGCTTAAGCCTCGAGGCCGTGTTCCCCACGTTACTCTGGTCTCAGTCTCCGTATACAACCTCAGGACGCATTGCCTTTTATTCCAGCAGTCGAGCTTCAGAAAGCATTTGTGTCTTGGTCTTGTTTTCTAGTAAGGGTGGTAAATCTTGTTTCGACCACGAAACCATCCACAGCTGCCCATATGCATAACCATGCACTGCGATAAAAGACAAGCGTACTTCCACAACCATAACAATACAGAATTGGACCGCTCCGGAGTGCAGGCCTCACGCCTCGTTACTTCAACAAGATCATAGCTCCACCTTCACTATATACAGAAGACCCCTACGGTAGCATTAGCCAGGAATCAAAGAGATTGCTTGTACTACTCACAGTCATATATGAGCTCAGCGGGCTGCTGAGAAAGAGGGTCGCATCAGCCATTTCTTCGGGCGAGCCCATACGCTTCAGGCAGAACATCAGCATATAACCCTACAACAGCCCAGAAGATGAGCGCACCTTCATAAGTGTTCCGTTCTCATATGGAGTAAAGTCAGAGACGAATGCCCGAGCTTGAGGAGTAAGCGTGTATCCGGGGTTGACCGTGTTGATTCTGATACCATCTGCACTGTGTGACACCGCTAAAGACATCATAGAAAGAATGAGGTGGGTCAGAACATATGGAACACAAAGCTCACCCGCAGCTTTTGTCATTCCAACCACCGCCTGACATAATGAAAGTGAGAAACAGGCAATGTCGGAGATATTTTCATGATGGACTCACATGCTTTGAGGCGGTATATGCGGTCATCCCGGGCATGGGGGTAACAGAAGCGAGGGAGCCCATGTTCACAATAGATCCTCGGGTGGGCGCACGATCCGGGATCAAGGGTCGAAGCTCGTTCTTGAGCATGGCCCTGATCTCTTCCCGCATGCACAAGAAGACTCCGCGGACATTAATTGCGTGGATGTTATCCCAGTCCTCGATGGTCTGATCAACGGTAGCCACAGGCGTTACGATGATCTGCACCAGAACGTTGAAGGAGATCGATAAAGAGTAGCCAGGCAACTCACTCCGGCTACATTGGCAGCATAATCCAGTCGACCGAATTCCTTCACGGCGGATTCGACCATGCTGATAACATCCTTATCGATCCGGACGTCGACTTTGAATGGGAGGATGCGGAAATTAGGGTGAGTAGCAACTTTTTTGCACTCTTCGATGGTTGCGTCGAGTCCATCGAAATTGATATCACAGGCTAAGATACCTTCAACGCCGGCTTTGGCGTATGAGATTGTGATTGCTTGACCGATGCCAGATGCTGGTTTTGAGTCAGAAATATGTTATGGTTTGATAGCGTGGGATATACCAGATCCTGAACAGGGTGAAACATAAGGTGATTTAGTCAAAAAGAGCTCTCGGGAAAACGTAAGTTACTTCACCGGTTACAAGAGCTATTCCGCCAGGTAGAGTGAGAGACATGATGTGAGGCGAGAGCCTTCCTATCAATCAAGCCTCTTCTTATATAGCACAATACGGAAGGTGCGAACGAGCATCTGTATGCCGCTTCTTATCGGCCTCGGGGAGGTTGAGATTTGTTGAACGCTGTCTGGGATGGACCGAGAAAGAACCAGCTAGACTCGGCATAAATGCAAACTGAATTCGAACGGCCCCGGGTTTATGCTTGTGTACATCGAAGACCAAGAGACTTTTGCGTCAGATTCACCATGGAGGTTCGTGGCAATTTGTGCCCTGATTAGCCCAGCCCAGGACCCTGCAATGACAGTCGCATACCGTGTTCTTGAAATACACATTTTCACTGGAATGTATAGTTTGGTTCCACGGTGGGAGTAATGTATGCGGCATAGATATAGGATTCTTGTGTAAAAGATATACTGGGGAAAGCCAAAGAAATACTATGAAACGGATTTTGTGAGACCCTGAGCATCTGTCGTACTTCAAAGAGACATACCAATACACAACAGAATGCAGTCGGAATTATGCCACCATAAGCCCATTCATTGAGCCGAATACCTGCGAAGAGGACCCGAGATGAACCGCAGAAAACACAGTAGATCGTGTATTACGAGTCAGAGACTGTCGAGAAGGAGGTCCTGGACACAAACCTGAAGCATCATGAATATCGGGAAACATAGAACAGGTATATACGGGACGTACTGGAGTCTTTCCCAACGTTTCGCGCACCATCGCCTTTCCTTTCCTCTATATTAGCCGACACCTGTTAAAAGAAGGCAGATATCCTGCTTGTTGCCGCTTGCCCTTGTTCGACAGTGGGCTCTGCGGTCTTGCGGTGCCGTGCATGCTTGGTTAGTCCGTCCTTTTTGTGTTCACCACAATTTGAAGTTGAAAAAAAAGAAACGGGCATCCAGCAGAGGCCATGGTGATGATGGCGGTTGTAGTCAGAGTTACATTTCAAACCCCGATGCAGCAATTTCCCGGTGTCCTCCTTACCATCACGGTCTCCAGAAGGCAATGGCAGCCTCTTGCGATACGGCGGTTATCTTACCTTAGGGTCGAGGAATCCCAAGCCTCGGCTGAGTATTGTAACGACAACAGGAAACTACTAATGGGATTCACACGAAAGGCTCTCGGGAACGAAACAAATAGAAGTAGGCGAATTCCAGAGGCGACCGGCTATCAATTCGAGTTTGGAACTTCATACAATGGCCACTGAATCGTCGACCCATGACCATGTCGCGCTGTTTCGTCGGCGCTACTTAGTCGGCTTATCCTGGGTGTCACTCCCAGACGCGGTTCACACATATTACTGTGAGTGAAGTATTGCTTTGCCTCTTGAGGCTGCGCTTACACTCAACCATGTTTCATGCCAGTAAATACAGCCGGAATTTTCATGTTAAAGGGTACGGCGCTGCATATATGCTGACTTGATGCTGACTGAAGTCGCATGTCAGGAATAGTGTATAGTGGCTAAATTCAATTCTGGAATGTGGTTACCCCGTCCGTTGATCGTCTCACCTCCCGGAGAGTCGCGTGCCCTTCTCGCTGACCTTTTTACGACATGCGTGGAAGAGCTTGAGTGATCGCTGCTTAGATATGCAGCTCTGCCATCGGCACGGAGTATGAAAATTTGTTACAGTGCTGCCGGCGATAACTAGCGGATTGTGAGCTATTGTGAATCGACTATCAACCATTCTCACAGGGAAACGGTCCCGCTGAATAAGACCGAAGACCTCTTATAATAAAAGTAGCCATATACAGAAACTAATCTCGAACATGGCAGATCTCAATGTAGCCACGATGATGTCGCTGGCTGGACGAGTAGGACTAGTTACGGGCGGCGGAACGGGGATGTAAGTCTCAGGAATTTCAATCACGGCGAATGGTTGACCTGTCGACAGAGGATTCATGATTGCTAAAGCATTTGCTGCAAACGGAGCCAAGGTATATATCACTGGCCGAAGGCTGGACGTGCTCAAGGAGGCCGCCGCCTCGCTTACGAACGTCCCAGGATCTCTTGTCCCGTCTGTGAGCCTTCTTCCTCCCAAGTATCCGTTGTTAACGTGTACACAGACTGCAGATGGACGTAACGGACGAAGAGGCCGTCAAAGCCAGCGCCAAGCACATCGAAGGAATCGATGGCAGGCTTGATATTCTTGTCAACAAGTTTGTCCACAGCATCCTTAGTTCCTCTCTCACACACTAATCTCTTCGCAGCGCCGGGTTTAATGCCTCCCTTCGCGACCCAGATTTCTCCCAAAAGAAGCTAGCGGCATCAGATCCCTTCGAACCCGAGACAGTACAGAACTGGATGGATATCTTCGCGTTAAATACCATCGCGCCATTCTTCGCCGTCCGCGCCTTCCAATCCCTCCTCATCAAAGGAGCGCATTCCCGTCCTCAAGGCACGTCAAGCGTCATCAACGTCAGCAGCGTGGGGGCAAAGATTAACACTGCAGTATCAGTAGGCACTGTATGTGCCCTGCCGTTTTCTTCAAGCCCGACTCGGTACTAACTTGGCTTACTAGTTAGCGTACGGCCCGACGAAAGCAGCCTTGGACAAGCTCACCCTCGTTCTGGCGACGAGCTTTGCCGGGAGGGGTATCCCGATTCGGGTGAACGCGCTGCAGCCTGGAGTGTTTGCGTCACAGATAGGTAGTCCCGAGATCATGGAAGTGATCAAAACGAAGCCATTACCTGGGTTTGTAGCCCCAATACCCGAGGGGAGGCAAGGGACGTGAGTATCTTCTGGATTTGGATGAGATTGAACATTGATTCTATTCTTGCTAGTGATGCGGAGATGGGGATGGCGGCAATTTATTTGGCAGTATCTGACTATACGAACGGGGCGGCTTTGACTGTTGGTGGTGGAATAGCGTTGGTCAATCCCTGAAGAGTTGATCTTCGATCTTCGTGCACTTTTTTTTATGGCTCCTCTTGCTTTAAGCCTTTCATGTAAACAGATCCATTCTTGACCCGCTCCGTAAGGTGCTTTCTCTGCCCTGTTTATGCTTTTTTCTCGAGGTGGGTGAAAGATAAGGGATGGCTGACAACTTGAGGCTTAGGCGATTGTCATGAGTCGCTTTCATACACTATATGTATCTAGGGCTCGTCATGGTGTGCAAACAAACTGCCAGTTATTTTCTTCTAAAGTGGTTTTCCAGTTTAAGGGCATGTAGTGCTAGAAGTCTGGCCCGTCAAGTTTGTCCTACACACGATAATATCGATTAACAGAATGGGATATGAACGTAAACAGCCATACCAACAAAGCTTGTAAGGCTGGACGTCCAAGCTGGAATCCCTCGACGCAGCATTCTCCGGCACTGTTTGGTACATATTTCGTCAATGAATGTGACCATCCTCGCTGTTTGGGACTGAAGGAGAAAAGAGCATTATATGACTAAACCTTTTTTGGTCCCAGGACGCTGACCATCGCGATGAATACCCTAGGCAAGGAGTCAAAGATCTGCGATGGGCCTAGTTATGCTCCCGGGGTTGTTTGAACTTTGCTGCTTCACCGACGGTGATTTTGAAACGCCGCCCTTTAGACCCTGGTTCTGACCTGTCAATGCAGCCGATACGTCAGGATAAATACCTGATGGGAGGAGAAAAATCAGGACAAAACGCAGAGAAGAAATTTTGACACTATCACATACTGAAACGTAGAGTGCTTGTATTTCGACCCCTCCCGATTTGAATACTCATATCCACGAGGTGACAAAGGGCCTCCTCGGATAGTGACCACCCGTGAGAGAAAGGTGCTGTGTATTCTATAAACACAACTAGAGTTCCGGTACTGGCGCGATCTAAAGAGGGCGGTTTGAATAAATCGATCAAAGATCGGGCCCTGACCGATCGAAACCAGACCATCTATACTTAACCTGGTATGCGTTTCAACAGTACAAGCGCCGGTCGTAGTGTTCGAAGTCGGTGGCGCGAGGTCACATCACTTCCAGAATGGCTATCTGCAGTGGCAGGTAATTATTGTCATTTTCGGATGGGGATTCGACGATCATTGATCAGCGACTTCATGCCACTAAGTTGACATGACTGTACTCCAGCTCAACCGGTTCCAAAGACCTGAAACTTGAGGCTTATCCAAAACAGGATTTTCTCGGTTCCCAAAGATATGTTGTATTGTAGTGTACACTAATTTAATTAGAATATATAAATTAAAGAGAGAAAACGAATTTATAATCCCAGCTCGCTAAGCCTATATCTCTTCATTCCCAAATGAAGCGCCAGATACCCATCTGTGAACTCTTCAAACGCCAAGTACGCTTCTTTGTGAGGTGACAAGATACGCAGGGCCCTTTCGTATGATTCAAGGCACTGTGTTGCGACGTAGCGGAGAACCTGATTCTTAGGCGCACTACGAGCTTGAGCTAGTAGCGATATAAAATTGTTGGTATCGCCGCTGCACTCCTCCTTGTAGAATGAAAGGATGTCGTTCGCGAAGTCAATGAAATCTCGCATGGAAGGGAGAGCCTGGATGTATAGGTGGAATGGGACATCCCGGGGGAAAATGAACATCGCGAAAGCCTCTGCAAGCCCGCATTGTTCGCGAAGGAATATGGCATATTCTTCAACGCGTTGTGTCTGTGAACTCGAGTTAGAAATATAGATTAGTTTTATCAGCGAAGGGTACTTACCGACTCCTGCTTGCTCTGGACCTCTAGGATCAGCCCAGTAATGAACTTGAGGGCAGAGTGGACGATGAAATCAGCAGTGACTTTGCCGAAGTGCTGAGAGCTCTCGGTCAAAAGGTCGGCCAGATCGTTCAAGATCTTGCTTGACTGCTTCTCTGATGATGTGAAGCGCTGCAGGGCACAATCAGCATTTGAAACAATATCAATAATGATGACTGTGATCTTACCCTTGTAAAATCAGGCACTCCACCCAAAGCATCGGAATCGTCAGGATAGACGTCATCGAGGTATATCAGAAACATGCAGAAGAACGCGATAAACACCTTGACATTGGCATTGTCAATATGGTGGTACGCAGAAACAGTGATGTTGAGTCCAAGCGTCAGGTAAGGTCTGAGGACATCGATGGAGTATCCGCGACGTTTGGCCTCTGCGAGGCAAAGGGCTTCCAGTGTCGGATCCCAAATAGACGGCAGGTCGGTGGTGTCAAAGTGCTGCAGAAAAGCGCGAATTGTATCTCCAATCTCTTCCGAGGCGCTCTTCGGTTTCTATGTAGAAAATTAGGAAACGATAACTTCTCAAGGATGGATTGACATACACGAGTCTTTAAGCGACCTAGGCATCCGTGAGCTTGGGTATAAAGAAAGAAAGAAATTAGCATACCGGCGAGGCTGTATGTCGAAGTTGGACGCGTTGCTGTAGATAGTGTCATCTTTGTATTGTGAGGGTGGAAGTACTTGTGTGATGAGTCGATGAGGTCTGAGGCTTGGAAGTGGAGATTTGAAGCATTCTAGGACACCTTATATATCACTATTGTCGCAACAAACCGAGAGCCGAAGGCATAATTGGATGGTCCATTATGATATGTCACCGGGGATTTCTCTTTCTGACGATTTTGGCGCTCTCCTGAGATGAGTAATTGCATAGAGAGCGAAACTGATGGTGCTATGGCCGCGGGAACAACATGGAAACATGGTTGGATAGGATGCCGGTCTGATAGGTGGGAATGCGCTTTGGTGAAAACCAACTTCCTTGAATGCCGGGACACGTCGGACAGCCTCAGACGTGAAGACACAGAGCCTAAAGTTTCTTCCGAAACGTTGATGCCTGCATTCAGGGCGAGAAGCAGAGAGGCCTATCTGCTCATAGAAGTCTGCTGCATTTTGAATCATAAATTGGCTGCACAAGGGCCTCGTCGGTAGTGTAGAGATACCTATTACGGACGTTGCCGTAATTCGTATGCTAGCACCGTTGATGGATCGGAAATGTATTTTCGGTATCGTCTCGTATATTGTGTCGGGTATGATACATCCTATCCTGTTACAAATGATTTACCCTCGCGATACTTGTACGTGAGACAAAAACTCACCTCAGCTCCAACCAGAACGCAATCACAACGATTGGAACGGTAGCTGTGCATACACTTTGGAGTGCCGTGATGCCGAAGTTATACCCTCGGTTGTATCAAAAAAAAATGAAGCATAAAGAAGAACCGTCGACTGCTTGCTGTACCAACAGTCTGCAGCTACTACACGATGCAAATCACTGAAAGGGCCACTTATTCCGATTTACTCCCATAAGAGTGGCCCCATGATAACCGCCGGCGTGCAGGTGCATCAGTTCTACTGCCTGATTGTGTGCCGTTAGCGCTGCCACAATCGGACAGTAATCGGATGTAGCGCATTGGCCGTAGATGTAGAAATGATCCACTGGCCGATCGTTTGACAAGAAGACAACTGTTATGGAGCTGGCGCTTCGAGTTCCAACAACAAGCGCTAGGTGAAGAATTCATCATTTACTGAGCGTGTAACGCGGCCGACTTCATTAGTAGTGAAGTACGTCTTATTAACCAGCACAGGCGAGTTAATTCAAAGCGTGCCTACATACTCAGATACGTTGTGATTCTGATGCCCCGATATTAACGATGAGATGAAATAGCAAGAGGGCTTGATTGCCTTACCAGTCTGGTTCCTGATATGGAGGGGTTACTGCTTCTGCGAAGTAACGCTGCCTGAGCGCTTCAGTTCCCGGGAATGGCATTGAGAGAATGAATATATCCTTGATGATAGAGCGAGTGAATCCGGATTCCGTCGTTTTTGACAGATACTGGTTTAGATTTTCTGTCCGCAAAATAACGTCAGCTCTCGTACCGACAATATTGAATAGCATTGAACAGCGTCTGTCGAATCGAACTGCTTGTATTGCAGAATATTCTAAAAACCAGGTATATTGTTTCCATTTACGGGTATATGTAGTCTTTTATATCGCTAAATCGAGTTCTGGCAAAAGCTGAACAAGATAGGTGAGATTTCTTACAGGAAGCAGGAGTAAGCTTACGGAGATGCTGTGCCGACGAGCAAATCCTCCTTCATAGTCGTAAGGAAAGGAACGAAGGAGGTTTGGTCAAACCGGCGAAGGGCACGTCCTTGTGCGAGCCATTACCGTGACCTTCGTTGACGGAGGGAAGAGGAACAATGGATGGAGCGGAATTACCATCTAATCGGGAGAATCCGTGCCGAGTGTATGTTGTCTCGACACGTGGTTTCGCTTCTTTTGATGAGTACCACACCTCTTCCACTGCACCGACATTAGTTATCACCTCTGTTTATTCACAAGGAAAGTCTTTCATTAGATATCTCTTGGAAAAAGAAACTGAACAAACTACAAGGTTTTTGACGCAAACGAACAAATCATAGTTTTGGCTTCTCTGAATTTCCGCTGCCTAAAAAATCCCTTCTCTGTTAACGGCATGATTTCGCCTCTCCATTGACCGGATCGGCACGTTACTACCACCGAGTACATTCTGGATGACCCAGAAAATATTCGCGACACGCGAGCTGGTCAATTCTTTCTGGTCTCTGAATAATAGCACAGGCTGCGTTCAACATATCCGATACTACGGGACCTTCTGATAGCCCTCACTCAGACTCCTAGATGTTGTGCTTCGTGCAATTCTTCGAGCATGTAGCAGCATGGGACAATGAGGCTTCCAGAGAGCTCATCGTAGGCTTATTTGGGCTTTGAGACTCATGCCTGTTACGAAAGTTGAGTACTGCAATTGTAACAGCCTCGATAGATAAATGTCTTGCATGTACCGGCAATCAAGGGAATCGAGGGATATTGCTCTTCACAGGCAGTTCTCTGCCTTCTTTCCTCTTCGAAATTTCTTCCGTTGGCGTCAATATGTGCTCCTGCTTCGTCGGACCGTCCCTCCAAAGCCCCGGTTGTCCTATTATCACTTGTCGTCTCAATCACTCCTGATCCAAATTCGTGTCTATCAAATTACTAACTATTGTGTTCAATATCTCATTAAACCGATACACGCGACGTTATACCCGGCTTCATGGCTCGGAGTTGCCGATAACTAGATGAATGATCTTCGCGTTCTAGATTTTCAAGGCGAAATCGTGACAGGCAGGATGGGATGTCTTATCTATGTTACGGAGTCTAGGAGGGGCGAGAACGCTGGCTAGTTGGAAGGCGGTCACTGCGCCTTACTAGAAAGAGCTTAGCATGAGGAACCTGTCGCATGTGATGTGAGCTCACCCAGAGATGAGGCAGCGGTCAGTCCTCGGGGGACTAATTGTCAAAGACCCCCAAAAAAAGAGGCGCAGAACCAATTCCACAAATTTCGGGTTTCATTCACACATCGTTGAAGGAATGGAAACTAGACCAGAAATGGCTCTCTGATTACAAACTCATGACATTTCTACAAAGCCTCGCATCCAGACAGTACGTTCAAAGTCGTTTAACAATCAGTTAGATATTTCAAAACCTTGAGAAAGTGACGTGAGTTCGCGATGACTACGGATTTCCAGACAGCTATCCCAATACCTTGGGCCACATAAATGTCGAACGTTGAGAGCGCAATTTATTTCCCGATTTATTCAGCAACCATAATTCAGACTAAAATACACTCAGTTCCCCGCCAGTATAGAGGTCCACACCACAACCCCGCGATGATTCATGGCAAAGCATCAAAAAGCTCCACTTCCCCAAATCCCCATGAGCGGGAGAATGTGAGGAGGATCCGAACAAGATGGAAGCTTCAATCAGATGCAACCAAATGTACTTTTGACATTTGCGCGATTCTGCAAGGATATGTGCGTCCAAGACAGATCCAAATAGTAAGATGGCGACGAACCTCTTTTCCAGGCTAACAACATACTAGCGCGAAGTTATAGCTTCCAATGCGAGCCATTTCCGTATCCACCTTGCTCCATCTTCAAATAAGAGCATTCGTTATCTGTTGGGGTAGTGCAGTATAGAGGGCTAAGTGTAGCTATAGTTGATTCCAGTGTCATCCCCACAAACAGAGACGAAATGAAAGCACTGAGCACATCTTTCGCTAACCATCACGATTTGACGTTGGTACATTAGCTAATCTTCAAGTAAGGTCTAGTAGCCCGTTCTATATTGCACTGCTGCGCATCTCGTCAATGCGAAAGAAGACATCCAGTAGACCCACACCCACCGTTCATTACTCCTCGGAGTTTTGTATGGACTCTTCTAAGGTATTATTGTACACACTATTGTCCCGGTCTATAGAACTTGAAGCTATTCAAACTGCATAGATTTTCGGAAGAATTCCCAGCTGATATGCGAATCGCCACCTATACCTCCATCATATCTCAGATGCATAACCTTGTGAATGGCGCAAGATTTTTGTTGTGAGAAGCTCGGGAATAGAGCTCAGTGAAAGCTTCATGTTAAGATTGTCTCCTTTATCAATAGATTGAGGGAGTGGGATGAGGTACGGCTAAAATATGGGTTGCCTTACTCGAACAAGATCGCTGTTATCGGAATATGACAATGGAGTCCAACATAGAATACAATCGATGCTGTTATATCTCCGGGAAAGATCGTCAGCTCAAGAAAATGAGAAAGTAAATCTCCGTGAGGAGTCTTCGGCGGGCTGGCGTTGAGATGACCATCCCAACGACAGTCCGTGAATTGGGTGAATGTGATCTCCCTGTTTGTTCTAGTTGGATATTTCACAATCTCATGGCAGAACTCAGTCAGGGTGAATGGCAACAGTCCTCGAAAACACCACATGAGGACTGACAGTGACAAAGTAATTCTTGAATACTGACATTCGAACGTCGCGCGACGCGGTAACCGGTTAACCCCGGCGGCCGGCCCCTCTTAGCTCTAGATTTTATTTACAATTTGATCCAAAAGATTGAGTCGACCCAGGTTCGAACTGAGGACCTTCTGTGTGTTAGACAGATGCGATAACCAGCTACGCCATCGACCCTACATCTCTCTACTTGTCATAGTCAGGTGGCTTGCAGAGGCAGATACGAATTCAACGCCGGTCCTGAGAATCACATCTTATAGATCATAGCGGAATATCTTAGACTGACATTTGCTACCGTTGAGCCATTTATCTTCATTCCGCATGACTGCTGATCGATATAGATCCGTTACTTACTTCTAAACTACTATTAGGCTCCTCTCGTCCGTAGTGGATTTACGCACTGCAGAAGTCATCCGAGACGAAGAGAAGGTACTATGCACGCCTACGCAATTATGGTATGACTCTATAACACTGGTACACAGCGGTCTCAGCATCTTCATTCGCATCCTGAGTGATCGGTGAAGCCTATGAGTTCGTCGCTTCCTTCGCTAGCCTTCTCAGCTCCAATAAACCGAAGAGAAGTTCGTCAGCACTGAGGGATGTACATCTCATGGCACTGCTGAGAAGGTGTTATGCCACATAAGCGAGCTCTGCCTCGAAGTAGAACGCGACGGGTGACTGAATTGCATGAACAAAAGTCGTCGGGTAAAGTATTCCAGCTGACTTTGCTC